TCCAGTGTAAGATCACAACATGACTCCCCCATAATGAATTCTTTACCTTGGCTGTTCTCCTACTCTTTCTCAAATAGCAACTCTCTCTCTCTCTTTCTGCCTTTCGTCCTAGTATGTGAACATATGGTAATATTTGAAATATAATTTAGGCCTTGTTGCCCACACCTGCACAGACCTCCAAGTCACTGAGCCGTATTCATGCACACTGAAGTCATGCTCTGATACTATAGTGTCAGTTGAGTCTGCTCATTTTTCTTCTAACACAAGCCAAAAGCTCTAGCATGCTGATTTCACATATATTCCATTTGAATCTGTAATTTATTAAATATATTTTAAGACAAAATATTGTTAGACACTGCATCATTTATATTCAGAGCTAACCAAGTATTGATTTTGGAGTAATGCAATAAAGAAACAACTCCAAACTCAAGTTTGGAGAAAAGGTGATTGACTCTTACTTTATAATGTAGAAGAATGTGCTGAAGTCTTTTAAAAAAGGTCTGTGGCATTTCAGTCAAGATATTTTCTATCTTATTGTTATGTTGTAAGCCACCCAGAATCAATTTGGAGATGGATGGCACCAAATAGATAAACAAACAATGCAGACATTATGCAAAATATGTAAACTTAAATAATATATTCATAACAAATAAAGTACAGGTAATCCTTGATTTATGACCACAATTGAGTCCAAAATTTATATTGCTAAATGACACATTTGTGAAGTGACTTTTGCCCCATTTTGGTACCTTTTTTGCCACAGTTGTTAAGTGAATCACTGCAGTTTTTAAGTTAGTAACACGGTTGTGAAATAAATCTGGCTTCCCTAATTGACTTTGCTCATCAGAACATCACAAAAAGGTGATCACATGACCCCAGAACACTGCAACCATCATAAATATGAACCAGTTGCCAAGCATCTGAATTTTGCTGCAATGGTTGTGTGAAAAACGATCATGTCATTTTTTTCAGTGCTGTTGTAGAGTCAAACTGTCACTAAATGAACTGTTGTAAGTCGAGGACTACCTGTATTTAATCATGCCAGTCCAGTCCACCTGTCCAGTTCATATGTAAAGAAGATGAGTGAATAAGAGGCCAGGTGTTAAACTCACATTTCCATACAATTGCTCTTTGTTTCCTTGCCTGGCTTCAGAGCCAAATCTGTGCTTTCTTTTTAAATAAATGCAGCAGATACGCAATTAGATATTGGTATAATTTGATTCAGGGTGACCACAAATTTGCAGGTGGTATAATAACAATATAAAATCGAAAGTAAACTTAAAAGCTTTTGAGTTCTAAGTTACTGCTGAACAGAAAATCCCCTGCTATAGCATCTCTAATAGCTTATTCATCAAACCTCTGATTAACAAATATGTGTATTAGAGCATTTCCAAGACAACCTAATTCAAATTTATTGGGCTAGAGATTTCTGTAGTCACTTCTTTTGAATTATTTTTTAAATCACATGCCCAACTGCATATTATCCTTTCTCTAGTAGGCTTTCTTTTGTGGTGTAACTCATACATTTCCTGTTCTGAATATTGCTTAATGCAGTTGACCTTTTGTGAATCTAAAGCAGTGGTCACCAACCTGTCGGCCAGGGACCACTAATATGAATTTTGACTGATGACATTGCTGACATTGGTGGGAAAGTCGGTTCCATATTCCAGAGCTGCAGTAGTCACAGGTCTGGCCCTTTAGTCATCCCAGAGCAGCTCCTCCAGTCCATGGCAGGCTGGTGCACCTGGGTGGAAGAGCAGCTGCTCCAGGATGACCAAAGGGCCAGACCTGTGACTACTGCAGCTCTGGAATATGGAACCGACTTTCCCACCAATGTCAGCAATGTCATCAGTCAAAATTCATATTAGTGGTCTGTGGGATTTAAAATTATGAGTTTGGTGGTCCCTGAGGTCCAAAAGGTTGGTGACCCCTGATCTAAAGAATATGCCTAGCAGCTGGCAGCCTAATGCATGACTTCTTTTATGATGTCAAGCTCAGCACAACCACATAAAGGGCATATTAAAAAAACATCATCATGACTGCACCTTTTTTGTATTCCCACAGAAGCAAACTAATTATTATATGTAGGTAGTCCTCAACTTATTACCATAATTGACCTAGAATTATGGTCATAATTCATGCCAGTCATTAAGCGAGATTCTAACCTTTAATGACCATTTTTGCAGAGGTCATTAAGTGAACAGTATGGTCAGTAAACAATTGCATTGTTTGCAATGGGGCTTTTTTTTGGTGAAAGTTAGAAGTAAATGCCAGTTTCCAGCATGGTAAATCACGATTATGAGACTTCTGGATGCTGCAAATGGCCATAAATATGAGCTGGCTGTTGAATGTGACCATCTGACAGCAGGTGGGGCCCAAATTCAAATCCAGGCCAGAAATAGTTCTGGGGATTTGCATTGTAACTTGGAACATTTACTCATCAACCACTCATAGATCAAGGACTTCCTATATTAGCTTTCTTGTTTTGTATCTTAATCTGTGTCTGTGCGATATAATGGTCAACAAAGATAAATCAATTTAAACTTAACACAATTTGAAATGGTAAAAAAAGCCATGTATATACTTTATACAGATGTAAGAATTTAATTATTTAAAGCTACATTCAGTCATGAAAGGATTGAACTTATTTTTAACCATCAGCTTGGATTGTTGTTTAGAGTCTGCAAAAGAATTGGAGATTTGGAAATAAAAATAGTAAAAGATTTATCATAAGCATAGACACTGCAACCTCCCACATAGATGGCTTCTGTTCATATGCTGCTCACTCCTGCTCCATCGATACCGTAGATACCAGAAAAGGAATGAGCTATTCAGAACTTCTTCTGAGATTGGCAGCTGAATTTTATTTTCATGTTGCTCATGTCTTCTTCTGTACCAGAAAACAATAAAGAAGAATGCAAGATCATCTATATTATGGCCCATGTAATAGAGAAAAATGTAGAGGATCAGGTGAGACATCCTTTTAAAAAAAATTCAATGGAATAAAAGCAATTTAGATTTTGAATGGAAGAGGAAAAGAATAGGGAAAGGTAACAAAAAAGTGAAAAAGTAAAGAAGGAATAAAGTAAAAAAAGTAGTTTCCAATTTTCCTAACAGCAATTATACATACATTTATATTTTACCTTCCCTCTGTAAGGTTATGCCATAATTTCTTTCTTTCTATAGTTTACACTTTTTAATAAATCCAGAAACCACCAGTTCATTTTTTTTCTTTTTCAGCAAAAGAGGTTTCAAGTCACTAATAATAGTGCTTTACATTCCTAAGCAGATGAGAACCAAGAAACAGAAGAGGCTTCAACAAGTTAGGGCAATCAGTACAACAATGCAGTGAAATTCAGACAGATTAAGAAGGCCACATGAATACAGTGATCATATTTTCTTGGAAAAAATGAAGAACAGACCTGAATAAAGGCAAATCTGAATGAGACTGATAAGGATAAAAAGTTAATTCTTTATAACTTTGCTTTATAAGAAAATTTAAGAGCAAATCCAAGAAATAAATCTAAAGTACAGTTTTCTTAAATAAAGGACTTGTCTTTATAATCACAGAATGTACAGTATGATCACTATAGATACTGGCAACAGAATTTGGGGATATTGTTTGTGATAGATGGATCAAATGCACTTTCTGTTCATAGTTGTTTTGCTAAAGGAATTGAAAATCTAGATACATGTAGTCCTTGAATTATGACAATTGGGCTCAAAATTTCTGTTGCTAAGCAATACATTTGTTAACTGAAATTTGCCTCATTTTATTACCTTTCTTGCCATAGTTAAGTGAATCACTGCTGTTGTGTAAATTAGTAATATGGTTGTTAAGTGAATCGGGCTTCCCCATTGACTTTGCTTGTCAGAAAATTGCAATAGATGATCACATGACCCTGGGATGCTGCAACTGTCATAAATATGAGTCAGCCACCAAGCATCTGAATTTTGATCATGTTTGATCCATAGGGATGCTGCAACAGTTGTAAGCATGAAAAATGATCATAAGTCACTTTTTTCAGTGCTGTTGTAAGTTTGAACGGTCATTAAACAAACTGTTGTAAGTCGAAGACTACCTGTACATCGAAATTCCCCCAGCCCCAAATGTGGGAGAATTGGGGAAAAGTTGAGAAGCCACAAGCTGGCATATACTGTTTCCTGAACTCACTGATTGATCCAATCATGTTTGTTCCAGAGAAAAGTGCAAGCTGGCAGAAGATGCTAATATAATTGGCCAAGTGTGATTGGACACACAAGGAATTTGTCTTGGTGCTTATGCTCTCAGTGTACATAAAAGAAAAGATACATTCGTCAAGAGTCGAGAATCACAAGGTACAACACTTAATGTTAGTCATAGGGTACAATAAGCAATCAAATCATACTAGGAAACAGTCAATATAAATTGTAAGTATACAAGCTACAAAGTTGCAGTCATACAGTCACAAGTGGGAGGGGATGGGTGATAAGGAGTGATGAGAAGATTAACAGTAATAGTAGTGCAGACTTTGTAAATAGTTGAACAGTGTTGAGGGAATTATTTGTTTAGCAGAGTGATGGCTTTCGGGGAAAAACGGTCCTTGTGCCCAGTTGTTCGGGTGTGCGTGCTCTATAGCGTCATTTTGAGGGTAGGTGTTGAAATTCGATGTGTCTCCCATTTCAAACCGATCCCATTAAAATAAATCTGAAATCAAATAAATATTCATAATGCATGACTTCGGGTGATTCATTCACTTATTTTAGGATCGATGCCTTGAGGCGTCGCCCATGGCCAGGAAAAATAAGTATCCCACCCCACCCCACACCCTGATCTGCTGCTAATAAGAGACGCCTTCCAAGCAGACTTGGAGGGTCACGGCAACAGGTCCACGTTCGAACGCTTAGGCTTCTCGGTTGCCTTGGCGACCGAAGCCGCGCGGAGGCGCGTTCCCGCGCCTGCGCAGGAGGACGGCCTCGTGGCGATTGCCAAGGCAACCGGCCGTGTCCCACTCTTTCCAATGGCTCCCAAGCGACCCAAGAGCGGGGCTGGCGGCGTGGCTGCTGGTCCCCCGGGGGCAGGTGCCAAGAACTGGGAAGCGGGGCTTGTGGCGGTCCGCTTGGAAGAGGTGCGTTGGCAGTGGAGGGAGGCACGCGTTGGTCCTTGTCTCAGGAAAAGAGGTGGACCTGTTTGACGGGAAAAGCGAGGGGGATGTGGGGTCGATCTCGGTGTTTGCAGGGGGAGGAAGTCCTATACGCATTGCAGATTGGGACCAGGCTGACTTTGAGGTTTGAGTCTTTTTCTGCTTAGCAACATGGTCCCTAACGTGGCTTGTGGGTTTGCCCTCAAGAAATCATGAATATAATTGCAACTCAAAGACAACCCTCTGCACCAGGAGATGAAGCCACCTAGAACTTGGTGTATCTTAAGAGAAAAATCTCCTTCAATCAAATCCAAGGCCTGGTGGATACATCTATGTACTTTTCTTGGCATCAATAGAAAATAACAGATAACAGATAATCAGAGTTGGAAGGGACCTTGTAGGTCATCTAGTCCAACCCCTTGCCCAAGCGGGAGACCCTACACCAGGGGTGTTCAACCTTGGCAACTTTAAGACTTGTGGACTTCAACTCCCAGAATTCCTCAGCCAGCAAAGCTGGCTGAGGAATTCTGGGAGTTGAAGTCCACAAGTCTTAAAGTTGCCAAGGTTGGACACCCCTGCCCTACACCATTTCTGACAAATAGCAGTCCACTCCCTTCTTGAAAGTCTCAAGGATTGGCATTCCCACAATTTCCGAGAGCAAGCTGTTCCATTGGTTGATAGTTCTCACTGTCAGAAAATTTCTCCTTATTTCCAGGTTAAATCTGTCCTTGTTCAGTTTCCATCCATTATTCCTTGTATGGCCTACAGGCGCTTTAGAAAATAGCTTCACCCCTTCCATCCTGTGGCAGTGCCTCAAATATTGGAAGATCACTATCATGTCTCCCCTGGTCTTTCTCTTCACTAGACATGCCCAGTTCCTGTAACTGTTCTTCATATGCCTTAGTCTCCAATCCCCTAATCATCCTGGTTGCTCTTCTCTGCACTTTAGTTTGCCATTGTCTTGTTTGGGGATGTTTTTTTCCATTTCACCTCCTAGCCTGAGATTTTCTACTGGTCTGCTAACCAGACCTGGCCTTGCTGAGCTTCCAAGCCTAAAGGGCTAATCAGAATTTCCACGTACTTCCCTTCTTATAACAAGTGGATTGTACTTCAGCCTGTGTTGTAGGCTGACAATTCTCAAAATGAAAGATAATTAGTTCACTATGCTAGAATAAATTAATAGCTTATGTGTTTGAAAGCAGAAGGGGAGGTTATGGGCATGAACGTTGTAATTTTATACCAACTTGCCTTCAATCGAAGGACCTGTATACTGCACGAGTCAAAAAGAGGGATGTGAAAATATTTACAGACCCCTCACATCCCGGACATAAACTGTTTCAATTTCTTCCCTCAAAATGAAGCTATAGAGCATTGCACACCAGAACAACTAGACACAAGAACGGTTTTTTCCTGAAAGCCATCACTCTGCTAAACAGATAATTCCCTCAACACTGTTCAACTATTACAAAGTCTGCACTACTATTACTATTAATCTTCTCATCACTCCTTATCACCTATCCCCTCCCACTTGTGACCGTATGACAGTAACTTCGTCGCTTGTATCCTTACGATTTATATTGACTGTTTCCTAGTATGATTTGATTGCTTATTGTACCCTATGACTATCACTAAGTGTTGTACCTTGTGATTCTTGACTCTTGACAAAATATCATTTCTTTTATGTATGTTGAGAGCATTTGCACCAAGACAAATTCCTTGTGTATCTTGGCCAATAAAGAATTCTATTCTAATTAAGTAGCTATACAAGTACTCCTCAACTTACAACAGTTTTTAGTGACCGTTCAAAGTTACAAAAGCTTTGAAAAAAGTGACCCGTGACTGTTTTTCACACTTAACAACTGTTGTAGTGTTCCTGAAGTCATGTAATCAAAATTCAGATGCTTGGCAACTGGTTCATATTTATCATGGTTGCAGTGTCCTGAGGTCATGTGATCACTTTTTGCAACTTTCTGACAAGCAATGGGGAAGCCAGATTCATTTAACAATGTCAGTGATTCACTTAACAACTGGGGCAAGAAATGTCATAAAATGGGACAAAATTCACTTAACAAATGTCTCATTAACAAGAAAAAATTGGGCTCAATTGTGGTCGAGGACTATCTGTATACGGTCATTTTCTTTGTAGACTAGGCTAGACTAGGTAACAATAGAACAGAACAGAATAGAATAAAAACCTTGGAGGTCTTCTAGTCGAACCCCTACTCAAACAGGAGCCCCAAACTATACCATTTCTGACAAATGGCAGTCCAGTCTCTTCTTGAAAGCCTGCAGTGATGAAGCTGGTTGATTGTTCTCAGTGTCAGAAAATTTCTCCTTATTTCTAGATTGAATCACTCCTTGATCAGTTTCCATCCATTGTTACTTGTCTGGGCTTTGGGTGCTTTGGAAAATAGGTTGTCCCACTTCTGTATGATAGCCACTCAGATATTAGTACATCACTATCATATCACCCCTGGTTCTTCTCTTCACTGAATATCCATGCCCAGTTCTTGTAATGGTTTTTCATATGTTTTAGCCTCCAGGCTCTTAATCATCTTTGTTGCTCTTCCCTGCATTCTTTCTAGAGTCTCAACATCTTTTTTATAGTGTGGTGACCAAAACTGGATGGAGTATTCTAGATGTGGCCTTACTAAGGCTTTATATTACCTCACATGACCTTGATTCTGTCCCTCTGTTAATTCAATTTAGGATTGCATTGGTGTTTTTGACTGTTGTCGTATACTGCTCACTCATATTTAATTGATTGTCCACTAGGTTTCCAAGATCCCTCTCACAGTTACTGCTATTATTGTTTTTTCTTGCCTGAGTGTAAGACTTTATTTTTCTCGGTGTTGAATTTCACTTTGTTAGATGGGCCCCAATGTTCAAGTCTGTCAAGAACCATCTTGACATGAGCCTATCATCTAGAGTGTTAGCTATTCCTGCCAGTTTAATATCTTCTGTAAATTTGATGAGTTCCCCTTTTATTCTCTCATCCAAGTCATTTATGAAGACATTGAAGAGTACTGGGTGTAAGACGGAGCCTTGTTCCACTGCTTACTTCCCTCCATGTAGATATAATACCGCTAAGGAGGACTTGCTGACTATGGTTTATCAGCCAGTTACAAATCCATCCATGGTGATGCTATCCCACTTGTACGCAATAACTACTGTATAATTGTAACTATAACTGGACAATAACTGTAACTATTTATCTTGTGTTTATACATTTGTTCTTTACACTTGTATTAAATTTATGAGGCCAGAATGTTTGGTCTGTTCTCTCTCCACTCCAGGAGAGTCCCATAGATAAAACGTTTAGATGATACAGAGGAGTCATAGGACATTTGTAGCCATTCGTTGAATATGGAGTATGTATTCCAAACTGGTTCAGTCTTATCATTAGATAAATAGATAGATATCACTCAGACTTGTCTGATCAATTTTAATGAGTTGCACATCTAATCAGGTAAGGATATTATTTTGTTTATGAAAATAAGAAATAAACCAAATTCACAATGATATACTATGTGTGTATGGTATTTTATATAATTAAAATTACAGCTGTTAATGTATAGCATCTTAGATTCAAAGTTCACTGTCATATAGCAAAAGTGAAGATACTTGAAAACAAAGAAGATAGATTGAACAAAAGAAACAATGCATTAGTCATTATTTAATAATTTATCATTTCATAGCTGGTATTCCATTTGTCCTTTAGTCTCTTATGATCTCAATTATATACATTATTAATGCTTATTGATTCTACAGACACATTTATCTAAAATTTGTTTTATTTATTTGTGCAAATATATGTGTATTTTACCAAATAACATTATAGAATAATATTTGATTAGGATAAATAGTTGAAAGAGCTAGTAGATTTAGTACATAGTATAATATTGCCACCTAGTGGTAGATGGCAACTGCATATAAAGAAATTTAATTTCTGAGCAAGGAAAAATAAAATAAAAGAGAAAGAATGCCTTTATACTGAATTCCTTCCCCCCTCCCTCCCTCCCTCCCTCTTTTCTTTTTTTCCTTTTCAGTTTACATAGCTGCCCTCTTAGATATGTGACTGTGAGTTGCTTACATAATTAAAATCATAAAAAACAATACAAAATAACCAAAATTCCATTTAAACATTAACATTATTGAAACCATTAAAAACATAATCTGAGGGAAGGACAATCAATATCTTTAACAGTATGGTTATTTTTCAGTGTCCACACCACCACTACCAGATCCCCAGGTCAGATGGTAAAGCCATGTTCTTTAGGGCCTTCCAGAAGGCTAGTAAGGTCAGGGGCAGTGTGAATCTGAGGGAATGATGTTCCAGAGGGCAGGTGCCATGGTAGGAAAGGGCTTTCCTTCTGGGCCCATTGGCATGACATTCATTGCTGGACAAGACCTGCAACATGCCCTTTCTGATGGACTTGATGGAGCAGGTAGATGGGATGGGGAAGAGGCACCCCTCAAATAACCCAACGTTGTGTCCTGTAGGGCTTTATAACTCATTATCAGCACCTTTAACGGTTTAATGATTGCTTTTGTTTTGAATCAGGAAGATTGGATTCCCAGTACTGCCTTTGTTGTTGGGAGCAAGCCTGAGGATGAACTTCACATAAAGGCACTAACTCTGGCTGTGCAGGTGCCACAAAGGAAACTCTTCAGTGTGATTTCTTGGGAAGGATTATTAGCACAGGTATATTGTATTTATAATTGTGGAGCAATTATATTAGAGCTGAGTCTAAAACTAGAGGTCAATTTTATCTATAATTCAGGGAGATATCTGAGAAACACTATTGCCAGATGTTTTTCATCTGAACATAGCAAAGAGAATTGGCTCCAGAAGAGGCTCTTCTATGCTTTCAGTTGACAACAGGAGGAAAAAAAATAAGATTTGAAGATGACATGTCATAATTTTGTACAGTTTCATTGTATTGCATGTACATGCTGATATCATAACATCATATAACTGCAGGGCAATATCCTTCTAGATACCTCCACACAAATATCTATCTATCTGGCTTCACAAAGTTTTCGTGTGTTGTTGCATATAGAAGAAGCCTGAACTCCGTCTCTTAAAAGCATATAAACCTTGTGCTGTTTGGTTTCTTATAAGCGTCTCTTGAAAGATCTGTTTATTTCTATTAACACAATAAAAAAGAAGTTAAATTTTTCAAGAATATTGAAATGGCCATTACACTAGAGTTTCCATTACTATCAATTTTCTCTTATATTGATAGGAGCTAAAGGCAAAATGTATTACTATGTTCAGAGTAATTTATACATCAAGCACACCATGTTTTTCTTTTGGGATATGTGAAAGGAACTTTAGAGAATAGTATTGCAAATTTCAGTATTATTCATAAAAGATTATGACTAGTAATCAAGAACAATTTGTTCTATAGACTGGTCTTTCTCAAACAGTCCCCACTACATCTGGTAAAACACAATTAAAAATGGAATTTTCTTTTGGAAAATTTTATTTTGGAATAAAACTATTTCAAAGTTAAAAGAGCTCTTCCAAGGAATACGTTTGAGAAATTATCTGTTGCGTGATTCTTAGAGATGGAAAAATTAATTAGCAATGTAAGGGTTTAAAGATAAAATATAAATGGCAAAAACTAGATAAGAATTTAATCCATGAAAGTTTGAAATGAACCAAGGGACACAACCGTTTTGAAATATTTGACTTAATCTTTGAAATATTGTCTTTTGCTATAAGACTTTTGAAATAATTAAAAACAAAATAGTATCATTGTTGGAACAGAAATTAATTATTAAAGCTATGAAAAAAACAGATAAGAGAAAGAAAATTTGGATGGAGAACAAATCCTACAACAGCATTTTAATGAAATAAAGATTAAGATTGTTAGCAGCAAAAGAAAGAAATATAAAGTTAACTTGATGATCAGGGTTAAAATAGATACTTTATAAAATTCTAGTTTCTCTTGATGGGCTATTTATGATGTAGACAAGCAGCAGAGTTGGGGGCAAAGTTAAGCACATCATCATCTTAGGTCCTTGCATTGCCACAAATGGTCCAAGTCTAACCATGCTTGAATTCTGTTGACCTTTATCTGGTGCCAATTTAGTACTGAACTTTAGTTGATTAAAAATTCTTATGTACAGTATAGGCGCTTGAGCCTTAAATTTTTGAACAGCAACTTAACATGTGGTCTTTTGATTCTTTGTGCCTGACATAGAAATGCTTAATAATTTATGGATATATGGATGGGAGGGATGGCATATGTGGAAAAGTGATCATATAATGTAATATTGAAGGGAGTAGAGAAGTACTAAGTTTGCTTGTGCTTGGGAAAAAAAAGGAAATCCCCTTTTAAAATATTCTTTGTTTTTTCTCTTTTTCTCCTTTTTTAGTACCTCTGATTTTTCTTTTTCATTTGAATATGTATGTATGTATGTATGTATGGTATTCAGCTTTGTTCGGGTATAGTACTTTATTCTGTATTGTGTTTGTCTGTGAGTCAGACTTTCACAGTCATTTCAGTTTTAAATTTGGGGCTAGCCTACTGCTGTGCCAGACGAACACAATACAGAAGCCTGATGATGGCAGATGTGTTGTAGATCGAACAATGAGAGGCTAGACCAGGGCATTAAAGCAACAAGACTTTATTCAGGGAATAAAGGACTGAACATGTCAGCGCTGCTGGGAGCAGGCTTCCAATGAACAGCGGTTGACCTGACCCTGCAGCTGGCTTTTATAGCCGGCTGCTCAGGTGAGTCAGCCAATGAGGAACAGTCAACGCCCCTCCAGTAAGAACGGACCTGGTTGGGAACTTTGGTAAGTTCCAGGGACATAACAAGATGATATTCTGTTGAAACGTTGCTACAACTTTAAAAGCACAACTATAATGATGTGGGAAAATACCCAAACAAAGCTGAATTCCATACATGTAAGTACTCACAAAAACTTAAGAAAACAAATATATATATATATATATATATATATATATACATACATACATACATACTGCTCAAAAAAATAAAGGGGACACTTAAACAACACAATGTAACTCCAAGTCAGTCACACTTCTGTGAAATCAAACTGTCCACTTAGGTAGCAACACTGACTGACAATCAATTTCACATGCTGTTGTGCAAATGGAATAGACAACAGGTGGAAAGCAGAGGCAGTTAGCAAGACATCCCCAATAAAGGAGTGGTTCTGCAGGTGGTGACCACAAACCACTTCTCAGTTCCTATGCTTTCTGGCTGATGGTTTGGTCACTTTTGAATGCTGGCGGTGCTTTCACTCTAGTGGTAGCATGAGATGGAGTCTACAACCCACACAAGTGGCTCAGGTAGTGCAGCTCATCCAGGATGGCACATCAAGGTGAGCTGTGGCAAGAAGGTTTGCTGTGTCTGTCAGCGTAGGGTTCAGAGCATGGAGGCGCTACCAGGAGACAGGCCAGTACATCAGGAGATGTGGAGGAGGCCGTAGGAGGGCAACAGCCCAGCATCAGGAGCGCTACCTCTGCCTTTGTACAAGGAGGGACAGGAGTAGCACTGCCAGAGCCCTGCAAAATGACCTCCAGCGGGCCACAAATGTGCATGTGGCTGCTCAAACGGTCAGAAACAGAGTCTATGAGGGTGGTATGAGGGCCTGATGTCCACAGGTGGGGGTTGTGCTTACAGCCCAACACCATACAGGATGTTTAGCATTTGCCAGAGAACACCAAGATTGGCAAATTCACCACTGGCACCCTGTACTCTTCACAGATGAAAGCAGGTTCACACTGAGCACATATGACAGATGTGACAGGGTCTGGAGACACCGTGGAGAACATTCTGCTGCCTGCAACATCCTCCAGCATGACCGGTTTGGCAGTGGGTTAGTAATGGTGTGGGATGGCATTTCTTTAGGGGGCCGCACAGCCCTCCATGTGCTCGCCAGAGGTAGCCTGACTACCATTAAGTACTGAGATGAGATCCTCAGACCCCTTGTGAGACCATATGCTGGTGCGGTTGGCCCTGGGTTCCTCCTAATGCACGACAACGCTAGACCTCATGTGGTTGGAGTGTGTCAACAGTTCCTGTAAGATGAAGGCATTGATGCTATGGCCTTGCCTGCCCATTCCCCAGACACGAATCCAATTAAGCACATCTGGGACATCATGTCTCGCTCCATCCACCAATGCCACATTGCACCACAGACTGTCCAGGAGTTGGGGGATGCTTTAGTCCAGGTGTGGGAGGAGATCCTCAGGAGGCCACCCGCCACCTCATCAGGAGCATGCCCAGGCATTGTAGGGAGGTCATACAGGCACGAGGCCACACACACTACTGAGCCTCATTTTGACTTGTTTTAAGGACATTACATCAAAGTTGGATCAGCCTGTAGTGGTTTTTTTTTTCACTTTAATTTTGAGTGTAACTCCAAATCCAGACCTCCATGGATTGCTAAATTTGATTTCCATTGATAATTTTTGTGTGATTTTGTTGTCAGCACATTCAACTATGTAATGAATAAAGTATTTAATAAGAATATTTCATTCATTCAGATCTAGGATGTCTTATTTTTGTGTTCCCTTTATTTTTTTGAGCAGTGTATATATATTCATAGATTTTCACGGGTACAGGTATGCAGGTCTTGGCTTGTTCGGGTCTTTTGCCATGTAAGATTGAGAGCATCTTGGCAACGTTTTGACGAGGTCCCACTCGCCATCTTCAGGCTGGTGCTTTCGGCTTCATGCTTGTGTTCGCCGAAAGCACCAGCCTGAAGATGGCGAGTGGGACCTCGTCGAAACGTTGCCAAGATGCTCTCAATCTTACACGGGAAAAGACCCGAACACGCCAAGACATATATACTATATTACTATTGTTAAAATCTCTAATAAAAAGTATTTTAGAAAAAGAAAAAGAAACTGGAATTTCATTCTAATTTCATTGAAAGTAGTGCTTCAGAATGTACAGCATCATTACAAAACACATTATGTTCGTGGAGAAAACTTGGGATAGTTTTTGAATAAATTGCAGAATGTGCAAAAAAATCAGCATGTGAAACCAGAAAGTTCATTATGTTACATTTTCTCCCCTTTTCTTTTTAGATCATGGAAGTTGTAGATGTAAAAGCAAAGAAGGTCAAAGATAAAGAAACACCTTTATTTTATGAAGTAAGACAAAGCATTTTTTTTATTAGTTGGATTAATTTTCTGATTTATTTCAGAAATTAATAATCTCATATATGATATTTTGACTTTTGCTTTTAAAGTGGTTGCTGAAAGCCAGTTACTTAATATTTTATTTGCTTATGCATTCATATGTCTAATCTGCCCAGTTTTGTAAACTGATTAGAAAATACTATCTTTTGAACACAAAAAATATCAAAATGTTAGTGCACCTAACCCCTAGTCCATATAGGTCATCTAGCAATTATCACTGTGTGATCATGCTTTATGACAAGCCTTGGAGAAAAAAGTCAAGCTCTTTCTAGAATCAAAGAGGTGCCTGGAGTGAACTGATTGAATAGTCCACTTCCTTGCAATAGGGCATTTGTGGCCATGAAGAATTCCCTGGCACTCAGAAAGTGATCTGACTGTGATAAGGGACTGATAATTTCCTCCATATCCACATGGCATCACCATTGCCCCAGTACAAAAACCAGATCCAATATCTGACCTCTACTGTGGTTGCTCTCTTAGATCTTTTGGAAGACTTGCCTTGTTTTTCTTGTCTGTTTCCATTTTCACTGCCTTTTTAGAAATCATTCTTTTCTCTTCTAACAGCTCTCTTAAATTCTTTCCTGAGATAGTTGTCTTTTTTAGGTTTGGCTTTTATTCTCTTTTTAGCAATTTCCAATGTTCTGATATTCATTTTGCTTTCTTCTGTTTCTTCATCTTTGGCTATCTCTCTTCACATTCATCCTTAACACATTCTTTGATTTCTTTGATTCTTGGGCATCAGAGGCTATTTGGCATGAGATGTGTGTTTGTGTGTTGTATGTGTGTGTGTTTATGTAATCCTTATTTGTCAACCATAGCCATTTGGATGAGATAGATAGCTATATAAATCATATAAATAAATTCCCTAGTTCCTCCAGTTATTAATAAAGTTTATGACTGCAAAATGATTCCTCATGTTTTTTGAAAATGATGTATATTGTCAAAACTGTATTGTGGAAACTGGCTGGCTTGCTTTTTCAACATTACCTTAACTTGGAACTTATACATGAGCAGATCACGATCTGTTCTTGAGTTAGCTGCTGCATATGTCTGCTATACCTGAGTCCGTCTGTCTGCTTGCGTCAATAATCATTTTGATTTCTATATATTTCACTTGGAGACATCTAAGTATGTACAATAGATGTTATTTTGGTTTGGAAAACTATTTTAGTAATGAATTGACAAAAAAAAAGTTAAGTCATTTTTCATTTTGAGTTCACTAAGTCATACAATGAAACTACATTTTCATCTTAATATTTCCAACTGCATCAATGGTTGAAGCATAAACCTGGATAATTGTATATTAAAGAATTGTCCATGAAGCCTAATTGATATTATTCAATATTATTGCTTATCTCAAGTACTGTTCTCCTTTGGAAAAAAAACCCAGTATTATCTTCCGAGTAAAAGTGTCTTGTTCCAGCCCATTTCAATTTATTGATGCCTAACATATCAAAGTATGGTCAGTTCATTTCATTTTTCACTGTGTAGAGCTTTTCTGTGTTCCTGCTTTTAATATCTCATCTTCCCACTGTAATTATGTTTTTACAGCTTTGGATTTTCTTTTCTTGCAACATCAGCAATCAGACCTCTCAAAGGCTTTAATCTAGCCATATCTTAAATAATATTAGTACTATGAACGATCCTTAGCTCTTCCTCATGTTAATTATTATCTGTCCTGAGGGGCCCATCATTTGATACTATGACCTCATAGTATCATTTCTATGTGACTTTCTTGGTAAAATTCAAGAGTTTTTACCTTTGCCTTCCTTCTCCCATGTGGTGTGAAATGATGCCTTTGCCATTAAAGGGATAATTCACTCCTAAATCTCCAACATCTTTATTGCTGCTGCCCAATATAGAGATCTGCTTGCTTTAGCAGAAGAGCTAAAATGTCTTTCCTGCCTTGGTTGACCCTGTTGTTGGCATAAATTCCAGGCATTATTTGCCCATCCTGTCCCACCCACCCCACCCCACCCATCTCCAGTTACTGTGGCACAGCACAGCGGGACTTTAAATTGGGAGGAATTAACACTAGATCAGGGGTGTCAAACTTGGATTCGACCCGCAGGGTGCTTTGATTTGGACTGCACGGCCCTCCCAAGCTCTGTTTTTGGCTGCAACGGCCTGCTCCAGCACTCAACCAGTGAAAATGGAGCTCGGGAGGGGCATGCGCAAGCTCTGTTTTCACTGGCAGAGTGCTGGAGCAGGCTGTGGCAGCTGAAAATGGAGTTTGGGAGGAATGCATGTGACCTCCGTTTTGCTGGCAGAGTGCTAGCAAAGCAAACCTTGGCCAGGTCCATCCCAGCCATGCCCACCCCAGTGATGCTCCCTGCCCCTGCCCCCCCCCCCAAGGGGGCAACTATGATGTAGTCCTATGTGCAACTATGATGCAGCTCTCAATAAAATCAAGTTTGACACGCCTGCTTTAGATGCACAGAAATTATTATTTTTCAAATTAGAGAAATAAAGATATACAGTATATACAATTGGGTGAACACTATATTGAAGAGCATGAGGCCTATTGGTTGGGTTTCTGAGTTAGCTACTGGGTCCCTGACCACAAGTTGCTAAGAACTGAGAATATGTGGTAATCTGTTCTTGTTGAATCCCTGATTGTACTGTGACGAAGTTATTATCCTTTCAAAATCGGTCCAGAACTCAGAAATTCTACAGACAGTTCTTCCCACATTTTCCAATCTTGTATGGCTTCTTTCAGTTGTTTTATGCTCTGGTTGACATTATCAACTTTGGTAATGTCTATCCACCATGTTTTTAGGGGCTTTGTTGCATTTTACCACAGATCATTCTGAGCATAACTTCCTTTTCCAGTGAGTTTAACTGCATGATCTGGCTGAAACAAATAAGGCAGAATTTTGTGACTGCAATACTTCTGGTTTTATATGCCCAGTACTTGCTTGTTTATTGTCTTCATTATACAAAGAATGTGGTGCTGGAATCTTCTCCAGCACCACAGCTTGAACAAGTCAATTTTTCCTCCTTTCTCCTTTTTATTTCAACCATGAGTAGCTATGGGAAACCCAATGATAAGTACTAATCTGCATTTGTTTACCAGACAAATATTATTCTTTTCCATATGCAATTCATGCTCATTATTGCAATGCAATTCAATGTGATCTGATGTTTCATTTCTGGACTGCATTCACTGCTTTGATCAATCTGTGATCCTAGGAAAGTGAATTCTTGCACACATTCAAACTCTTAATTGTCAATTGTTATTTTGACATTTCCATTCCTCACATCATGAGCTTGTTGTTGTTTGATGTTCAGGAAGATGCCATATTTGTTTCTTTCGTTAATTCTTTTAATCAAATTTTTCAGGCCTTTGGTTTCTGACAGGAAAATTGTGTCATCAGCATATTGAATATTGTTGATGATCCTCCAATTTTTACTCCAATTTGTGATTTTTCAGTTTCTTGTTTCCTCATGAACACTTTGACATGTAGATTGTATAATGTGAAATAATGCAGTGTTGCCACAATTTTTTTTCTCTATCTTGAATGAATCAGGGTGTCCATATCATGTTGTACAGCAAGTACATCAACTTGACCAGATGTTGGAAATGCCACCAGACACTTGGATCATACTGTCATATGTGGTGGCACAGAAGCCAAAACATATTGGACAAAAATACCCTCCTGGTTGGAAAAGATGATACAACAATATATAGATTTAAAACTTGAAATATTTCTATTGGGGATTATATCTGAAATTTATAGTAAAGAAAAGGCATACTTAATCATTCTTGTATTAACCGCAGCTAGAATTGTATTTGCACAAAGTTGGAAAAGTGAAAAGATTCCAAAAGATGAGAATGTGATCAAGAAAATATTAGAATGTGCAGAAATGAATAGACTAACCCTTGCAATTAAAGAAAAGGAACAAACTGAATACCATATGATATGGAAACTATTTTATCAATGGCTGGAGAATAGAAATGGAAATTAGGACTTAAAGAAGACTAGCGAAAATAGTAAACATGTGATAGAAAATAGTAAACATTAAATATGTTAAGAAGGGGATCGTTATAATAATTAGATATATAATATATAGTAGTATAAAGTAAGTATAGAGTACCGATATTATAGTAATGAATATGTATTAATTGTAATTGTTATTGCACAAGATATTTGTACCCAGACGTCACACTGTTTAAATGGAAGATGGATTGTTCATATAAAATAAAATTAAAAAAATATTACAAAAAAAACCCCTTGACCAGATGTGCTTGCACTCCCAGGTCTTCTAGAGCGCTCCACAGCTTGCCAAAATGCTTGACACAATGGAAGGCTTTCTTGTAGTCAATAAAATAGATGCATTTTTAATGTTCTTATGATTTTCTATGATCCCGCATAGATTTGGAATTTGGTCACTAGGATCATGGTGCTTTCTTCGGCCAGACTGAACATCTGGTTATTCCCTTTTGATGGTTGACACTGTTGTATGATCTTAAGGAGAATCTTGGCTAGTGTGAGTGATGAAGGCAATAGCAGGGTAATTGGAGCAATCCTTGGAGTTGCCCTTTTTTGGCAATACAATGAACATTTCCATTCCTGTAGCCATGTGTTTGTTTCCCACATTTTTAGCAGAAGTTTATGATGGTTGTGGATGCCATAAGCTTCAGCAACCCTGCAGGAAGGTATCAACATCTGGGGCCTTGTTGTTTGGCAGTTGGCTCATTGCCCACACAACTTGAATTATGGCTGGTTCTATTGCTGCTTCCTTTTCCTCATTATCTTGAAGAGGCTGGGGCTTCTTATTGTTGGCATACAGTTGTTCTGTATATTCTTGCCATTTGTTCTTGACCATTTGTTGGTCAGATAGTGGTTTCCCTTCCCTGTTTTTGATGAGCAGTAAATGGTGTTAGAATCCTTTTCAGTCTCATTGCTTCTACCTGTTTAGCTGCTTTTCTTCGCTCAGCTGTTCTAATGGATTTATCTGAGAGCCACTTGTGCTTTTTTCTGTCTTCTTGTATGGTGTGTGTTCAACTGCTCTTACAATGATAAGCAGTTGAAATTCTTGCCACAGTTTGTTTCTCTGTAGTGTTAAAAATAGTTTTTACCTCAGCTGCATACATGGAAGGGATTTGGGTGATGCCAAACCTCGTTGGTAGTGTTGTTGATGTTGCTTTTTGTTTGCATTGAAATATATTCTTAAACTGTTACTATTTTGTTTATCTCTGCAGGTGATAGAAATGGCAAAAAGCATTCTGGATTCTGGGGAAACACTTCCTGTAACTTTGATTGGAAAATTAATTAAATATCAAATGCTATGCATCAAACAGAAAGATCTTCAGAGAAGGATTGCTGAAAAGAAGGTAGCATAGTTTCCAGTCTATAAACACCTATCTGGGAATAAATCTTACTGGAGTATTTATCCCTTACTTCTGAATAGACATTTATCCAGGGGTGGGATTCTACTGGTTCGGACCGGTTCTATAGAACCGGTTGTTATGATTCTGCACAATTCGGAGAACCAGCAAATCATGCCCCTGGCTGGTCCCACCCCTCTCCACCTGCTCCTCCCCTCCCTGCACAGTCAATCCTTATCGTGCATGCGCAACATTGCATGCATGCCCAATATCACTGACTGCATTCTTCCCCGCCCAGTCACTCCTTAAGGTATTTCTTTTTTTCCCTTCCCAACGATCAGCTGTTCCTATGATCAGTTGGTGCCAAGATTTCCCTCACTTACTTATGCACCCACCACCCCCTCCATTTTTTGCCTTCCTGGGCCCCAGGGAAGCTTCCTGGGAGCAAAAACGCCCCCCTAAGAGGCTCCCCTGAGACCCAGAAGGCCCCAAAATGGAGCATAGGGGGGTGCTGCTTGCCTCCCCATGCTCAGTTTTTTTTTCCTTCTTGAGCCCCAGGGAAGCTTTCTGGGAAAAAATGCCCCCCAGAGGGATTTGCTGCAAAAAAAGCCACGCCCACCGAACCGGTTGTTATAAAATTTGAATCCACCCCTGCATGTATCTGTTTAGATTGTTACTGGGACAAACAAAAAACAGTTTTGGGGACAAAATCATCTTTTTTTGCAATGCTTTTTTTCTTATTGTTCCTTGATTAAAAGTTGTAATGAGTTGGTCACAGAGTCTTTTTAAAAACTAAAATAAATCGCCAAGATCAATAAAGGACAGGATTTGGCAGCATTGGTGTGGGCAAAGCCAATTTATTTCTGATAGCTAAACATCAGAGCAATCTGGTAGCAAAAACATCTGGATATTAGGACTGATGGAAACTATTTGTAACTTGGGTGGTAATTATTGTTGGGTGGTTTGTTCTCTGAGCTTGCTGTTTAGCTTCTGAATGTTTCAGCACCAGGCTAGGAGTCATCCTCAACGGGATTTTGGTTGAAATATCTTCTTTCAGTTCTTCATCACTTTTATTGATCTCATGCAGTCGGTGGATTGTGTGACTGGCTGGTCATTATTTGTGAAGGTCACCAAGTGAAGAGGTGGTCGGTGCCATCGTTTTTTGGTTGCTTGATTGATACAGCTCCTTGTATCAATAGAGCATTGAGGTAGGTTTGTGAGCCACCATTATTCCCAGTGGTTGTAGAATTCTGGCCGTCACTTCTGATGTTCCTCTGAAGTTTGGTAAGGTTTCTTTCTGTGCTATGGTTGGCTATGTGGTGCGGTGGGGTTTGGGTAATGTTCATCGGAGTATGAAGTTTCTTGCAGTGAAACTCATCAAAAAAATGTTTTTCTTCCACTTTTCTTAGTGTCTTGGTGCTGCAGAGTTCTGGCTCTTTTAAAAAAAACAAACAAATTTTATTAATTTTCAAAGACAATACACAGACAAACAAAACATAAAACGTAAGAACATAGAACGTCTTTTCTAAGAACTACTTAACAAAACAAATAAAACATCTTATTTAAGTACAACATAATTCTAAATTATCACACTTCCATACAAACACAATTTAGTATTCAACTTCATATCTTATTACTCTTTTTCCAACTTCTCACTGTTTCTTCCTTTACTTCTGTTCAATTTTATTCATTAAATTTATGCTTTCATCTTTCATATACTATATTTCATATTATTACTGTTTCATATGTTCTTATCCAACATTATTAATTCTCAATAAACAAACATAAACAAACAAAATACATAGCATAAAGACATAAGACTTCTTTTTAGAAAGCGGCTTAACCCTGGGTTACAACTTTTTGTACAGACATAAATCAAATTCATGCTCACCTTATATACTATTTCATATCTCATTTAACATTCTATATTTTCCATATATCTTCTCCCCTCTTTTCATTCTCTTAATTCTATTTTATTTATTTAATCTCAATTTAAATCATTATACTTGTATCTTTTGTCCGTTCTTTTTCAATTATCTATTTATCTTTTCTCTTTACTACAAACTTTTTCCTGTAATCACTGGTTGAAGTACGACACATTTCTATCCTTCCCCCAAATTTAACACTTAAAATAATACATAATTTCCATTCTGATTCTGCTTAGTACATTCTACATAAAATTTTAAAATAAAAAACATAATGAGCTTATAGTATGGTAAAAACAATGTTCCATAACAAATTAATTAATTAAACTCTATTAGTTAATTCTTAGACATTTTACACATTCCCTACAATGTTCTATTAACACGTATGTGATTCCAATTTTCTAACTCTATTTCAAATACAAATACTACAATACAATCTTATATACTTTTGCAGAATCTCCTTTTAGATTATATTTTACCCTTTGTCTCTGAAAAAACCCTGTTTTTTAACATCTTGTTTTAAGCCTTTATAAATTCTCTTCACTTTTCCCCTTCCTTCCTTGTCAAGTCTAGCCTTTTTACCCCCCCCTCTCAATCTCCAGCCTCTTAGTCTCCCCTCTCTTTTGTATTCCTCTTTTCTGTTGCTTTCTGACATTATATCGATTTTTCACCTTATTTTTCCCTTTCTTGGTTGTTTTTTTAGAACTTAAATTCTCCATTTTCTTTTCCTTTTTATCCTTTTCTTCCTCAATTAAAATTATATGTCCATTAAAAATGGCTTCTTCTTCTTCATCCCAACCTTCTTGTTGTTGCATTTCCTGATAAGTAGAAATCACCATTTCTAAGAAGCGAAAAATAGATCCAAAAGAGCCCTTGCCTTCTTCCTCCTCTTCTTTTAACTTTTCAAATTCCCTTTTCAATTCTTCAACAGATACCATTGTGAAAAATTTTTTTTAAACAATCCAAATGTTTTTTTACTCTTTCAAAAGATAGTTTACAAAAGTCCCAAAGTCATCAAACAATCAAAGTCAGCACAAACTGTTTCATTTAGCACTTTCTTCTTTTAATACTTTCTCTTCCTGGGGTAGAATTCAATTACACAACACCAAGGTAATTTTTGGAAGTTTTATTGCAATTTAATCTCTGATCTTATAAGTTCCAAGCAGTCTCCTTCAACAAATCTTGGTATAAATCATTTACCTCTCTTCCTTCCCACTTATAGCAAAAAGATTTTAATTTTTAAATGCCAGTGTTTAGAAATCTAATGTCCCATTGGCTTTAATTTTCAAAATTAGTACCTTCTGCTGCCAAAGCGGGTATTTCCGATTTCCATCTGCTATCTCCGTAGGGAAGGAAAGTGAGGAGGAAAAAAAAGCTTTCACTTTCACTTTCAACCGCAGCTTTGCAATCCTCTTGGGGATATTGTACCACTTAAAGAGCCAAAGTTCCAGGGTATTCAGATGTTGCTTGTCATCCCGGTTCAGCCCAAAGCTTTCACTATCTCAACTTCCTCCTGCATAAAACTTGTCCGGTTGAGAGGTTCTTTGTGGCGGCCATTGCTGACCGCTGCTCCACCGCCTTTGGAAAAGGGAGTTAAGCTGGCTGGGGAAGGGGGTTGCGATATCTCCAGACCCCTGCCCGGATCTCCCCTCTCTTCAGTTATCCCTACAGGATAACTATAGCCTCCCAATCCAACTGGATTGAAGGCACTCCGGCAGCGAGCGTGGCAGGGATCACGCACAAACGCGAATTCCTGCCGCCACCAAAGCTTGACAAACCAGAACTCCCAAGAGTTCTGGCTCTTTTGAAGAGATCATGAATGCAGCTCTTCTTTTGTGTGGTGGGGTGGTTGCTGGCAAAGTGTAGAATTGAATTGTGTGAGTTGATTTTCAGTAAATGCAGGTTACTAGTTCACCACTATCTAGTCTTCTTATGTCAGCATCAAGGAACAGAAATCATTGATCCTTTTCTTCTTCGTGTGTGACTTTGATGCCTGTGAATATGTTACTGAGTAGGCGGTATGCTTCTTCCAGCTTGGAGCATTTGATGATGACAAAATGGAATTGGTGGCTCACAAGCCTACATCAACACACCAACAAGAACTGACTAAAACCAAGAACAAAATACAGGAGGAAAACAGCAACGTAATCTACAAGATCAGTGCAACAACTGTATCCAATTCTATGTTGGGCAAAAAGGGACGACAACTCAGGAATCCATGAACACTGACTAGACATCAACTGACCTGACCACAAATCCCTGATCTTGACCCACATTGACACCGAGCAGCACTAGTTCGACTGGGATGGAACAAAAATCATTGGCCATGCCACCACACACCATGCATGTGAATTCATTGAAGCCTGGTATTCAACCAACAGATCTATCAACAAACATGCCAATTTGGAGGAGGCTACAAACCCATAAGCAGCTGTATCAATCAACAGCCAACGAATGAAGGGACCTACCACCTCTTCACTTGGTGACCTTCACACATTATGACCAGCTGGTCACATGACAGATCATGTGGCATAACCAGCCAGGCCACATAAGATCATTAAAAGCGGTAAAGAACTGAAACAAGACATTTCAACTGAAATCCTGTTGTGGGTATCACCTAACTTCAGAAGCTAAATACCAAGCTCAGAGAACAAACTATCACTAACATATCTGAATACACAGATCATGAAATACTGAACTAAACGAACCTATGACCTCCTTCCAGTGCCATGGTATCTTCTCACCTGAACAAATAGAGAACTGGAAATTCTCTTTGGTATATGCATGTAGTTTTAAAGTATGTGTGCATTTAAAGTATATTTTTAAATATATCTTTGGTTTTTTCTGCAGCAATCGGTCCTTTGTTCAATTTTGCAATAAAATTTGTTAGAAATAAAGCCTAAATAGGCATCTTAATAATAAAATGAGTATCATATACTAGCTGGAGTTATGCTCAAATGATATTTAAAATTTGAGCTAATATTTATTATGAGAATGAAAAATGAAAAAAATCTAAAAATTGTCGGAGCAGGTGGAGAACTGTTAAATTTGTGAAACTTACGACGTAAACGTTAAGAGAAAAAGGAACACAGTGCTTTCCAAGTGTGTGTGACTACATGTCTGTGTGTGTGTGTGTGTGTGTGTTTTCTATAGTGTTTCAACAAATGAGTCAACTGCCAAGCAAAGTATATTTCAGTAGTCTGTAGGAAGAATATTCTCAGTGACAGTGAGGAAGATCTCAAACATTACTCATTTTCTTCATAATGGTTTTAATTGTTCATTTCTTTTGAGAGACAGATGGTAAATGAAATATGAATGAAATATGGCTTTGATTTTTTTTTTTAAAAAGCTGATGTATGAATTAGATTTTATAACAACTTTTCTTTAACATTTACAAGAGCATAGTGATGCAATTTCTCTAATTAAACAGGCACTAGAGGAGCGAGACAAGGAGAAAGAAGACAAGGGAAAGGGGAAAGGAAAACCTAAGAAGGAGAAGGAAAAAGAGAAGCCTGCCAGTGCCAAGGCTGGAAAAGGAGGCAAAGGAAAGCGGTCCACTGATTCACCAAATATATCGGCGACAATTGTTAAAAAGGATACCAAACTTAAAAGACGTGGGGAAGAAGATGAGCTTGATAAATTCATTGGTAGGTAAAAAGTGCATCATTGTATCCCCTCCTTAAAAGTGAATCTTTCCATTCCAGACTTCTTTCAGATTGTTACATATATTATACAAGATTCGCCACAAGTCTTAAAATAGTTGCAAGTATTTAAGTTACTTTGAATTGTCCATTAGAAAAGGTTTTTGTGTGTGGAAGGAAATGTGATTAGCAAATAACTATGTTTATACTAGCTTGCATTTTTATATGGAGTGAAAAAATCTCCAAATGTGCAAATTGGGCATTATCAGGTAGAACAACTGAATTCCACTTGGTAAAATAATTTCTATCTTAGAGATCCCGGCAAAGCTTCCAAATATCATATAACTTGTTGATCTAATATTACCTCTGTGGATTTTGTTTTCTCAGGGCAAACATAGTCAATGCTGTTTTTTCAGCATGCAAAGAGAAAGCATTTTTCTCTCATGAATAGCTGGTTGTGCTGTTGATGTTTCAGTTAAACCAATAAATGACAATATATGCTCAAAATTCAAATCTTAAGATTGTTTCATAAAGTCCAAGCAGGAAGTTCATGGTAGATTCAACTCTTGATCATGAAATTTCTGAATACATGAATCAGAAGGATATTCAGTGAATTGAAAAATACCTTAAGCTTGCAATTTTATTCACACCTTAATTTGGAGTTAGCCTCACTGAAGTCAGTGTGATTTGGTTTTGAGTAAACTTTGTAACACCAAAAATGATTCCATGTCTTTACTGAGCTCTTGCATCCATATCCAAATAAAACCTCTTTATACTATCTTCCACTGGGTATAATGTAAATATGTTTACAAGCCAACAAAGACATAATCATATCTTTTTGTGCCATTATTTTGGGGACACCAAGCATTGCATTGTAATAAAAATTCCCAGCAAGCTGTTCTACTTTCTCAGTGATTTGATTTATGAATTCTTAAATTAGTTTATTGAACTTAATTCTCCATTCTTGCCCACCTACTTTCTTTTCAGTTTTTAACCATGGCTGTTTCTATTTTTTGAGAGTTAGTGATGTGCCCTAAGTAACCATACAGCAACTAGAGTGATAAAATTTTCTGTAGGACTATTGAACAATAATATCAGTCATTTCAGTTGAATTTGTTACAAGTAATATTTGATATTTATTATAAATGAAAGAAAAATGTGAATGGGTGTAAATGAAACAATTGTACAGGTATGAAATGCTACCTTTTAACCTTCCTATGATTTTTAATAAAAATCTAGCCATTATTTTGTGAGATGCTATTTGTGGCATGCCTCTTGAATGTTCTCTTGTCAGAGATCAGACTTGCCCCTGCTTACTGGCCTTTTGCAAGACATTAAAAACCTGGTTTTACCATAAATCCTGGGGCCTGATAGTATGGTGAGCCCATTTCCTGGTTGTATTGAGTGGAGGATGCTGTGAGTTGCTATTTTATGCTATATATGTAACTTACAATTTTGGTTATTTCTTTTATTTGGTTTTTATCTGTTTTAAATATACATCATATACATATGATGGATGGTCATATAAATAAAATAAATGTATGCAACATATGAATATATACTGTGTGTATATGCACATGTACATGTATGTGTATTACATTATACACACATGTACCTGACCATCAACTGAAGAGGCCAATTCAGATATTCAGATATTATCCCAATCATATATCTTAATCAAAGCATGGGATTCTATATAATGTTTCAAACAGATGATGAACCAGATGATGGTGCTCAGTATTATTTCATAATTACTGGTTTTTACAATCCTCAACTTTTACCTATACTGTCTGATCTGGGCATCAATATTGGAAGCATCATTCAGATTTCTTCTGACAATTATGAGCCACTCCAGACCTATTTAGAAACAACTACATTGCAGGAAGAACCATCTCTTGCATCAGAAGGTAGGCTCCTAATTATTACAAATATGTATATTTTTAAAGTAAAGTATAATTTTAAAAAGATGCATACTTATTATTGATCTTTCTATAGACTTAAATCTTTATCTTATTTTGGGGGTCTGTTTCCTTGGGAATGACAAATAAAAGAATTTAGTGATAGAGGCATGTCCTAAAGAGAGCAAATAGGCATTAGTGAGAGATAAAGTCATGTCTTAAAAAATAGTGAGGGATCATACTAACTTCTCATCCATTGATAACATAACAGAAATATAGTCAAGTGATTCAAGTAAGGCCATGATATCCTTTGGTGATTTTTTGGGAATCACCAGCAGCTGAAAGTTGTGCATATATACTTGAAAGGATATTGTTTGCAATATGTTAGTTTTGCCCCCTGAAGATTGAATTATGACAACAAGCAGTACTTGCAACTTCCCTTGAAATAATTTTTCCAAAACTATAACTAGTCAAGAATGCAGTTGTGTTGCTGGGTGATTGCAGGACCTGTCTCTTGCAAGATCTACATGTCTTACCAGTTTTTTTCCAAGGCTCAATTCAAAGTGTTGGTGATGTTCTTTAATTGGATTATTCTTTACTGGCCAAGCGTGATTGGACATGCTAGAAATTTGTCTCTGGTGCATAAACTCTCAGTGTACATACAAACAACAAAGTGATCGGTCATAGACCATAATCATAAGATACTGTTGTGCTGGATTCAAGGTATGGCTTGGTAAAAAATACACAAAATAATGATATTGTCTTTTAGATCAGGGGTCCCCAACCACCGGTCCCCGACCGGTACCGGGCCGTGGAACAATTTCTACCGGGCCGCCGGTTTGCTTGGCGCCGCCATCTTGTTTTGATGAAAAAGTGCTTCTGGTGAGCTTTTCTGGGTAGAAAGCAGCGTTTGGGTGCTGAAAGAATCCTCGCGCCTTAGTTTCATTGAAGGGGGGGGGAGCTTCGAACAAAACTAAGGTGCGAGGATTCTTTCAGCACGCATGGCAAGGCGAGCCGAGCGACCGTCCCGAAGCCGTCCCAAAGCCCATCGACACAGGTACAAAGGAGGAGTTGAAGGTGGCAGGGAGAAGCGGGGGACAGCTGGCTGGCCGGTCACTCGGCTCGCTTTGCCATGCGTGCTGATGCCGGTACCGGGCCACGGATGATTTTGTGATTCCAGTACCGGGCCGCGGCACAAAAAAGGTTGAGGGCCACTGTTTTAGATTATGCGTTTCTTCAGCTGAACAAAGACGGGTCACGGGCCCCTCTAACAGAGAGGAAGCCCCGAACACACACAGAGATTCTTATATTTATACCTTTTCTTACATTCTACCCAGTCAGGCTAGCACATAAGAGATACAGGAATCACCCAGAAAGTCTGGCACACAGTAGATATAAAAATGTTCTTAGTACATATGAAGGTTCTTAGGGACACTGGCTGGTCCCTGGCATCTCAGGACATTGGGTGTTCCCCCAAAACTTTGTGGCTTTTTTTCCCTTTTGCCAGCACCTCAGTTACATTTTCCGTTCTCTTTTTAAAATAATCTTCAGAGTATGCACTGCAGTCAACAGTGCCAGTAGTGTAGTGAAATACAGAATGATACTGATGTTCTATTGTTTTACTGGAGGGAATAAAGCTGGGTTTCCATGCATACATTTTGAAAGTTTATGCTCCACTTTAAAAAAAAAAAAGTTCTGCAGTACTCCAGGTGAGTGCATTCTAGTGGTTCATCTTTCTTTATATCATCTTTGTTTTATAATTAAATGGATTTAAGACATTTTTTTAAAAAAGTGTGTTTAATGTTAATGGGAGATGAATCTTAAATTAGTAGCAGGAGTGAATACATCTTCGTTTTCTTCTTCACCAAAGTATATTTCGTTTTAGCCATGGATATACAAATATAGCACATTAATCTGTTTCTGATGCAATTCAAATTGTAGAATCTGAAAGCAAAAAGAAGCAAAAAGCAGATAAAGACCTGGAAACATTCTGGAAATATGTGGAGCCAATCCTGAACAATGGAAAACCAGGATCAAATATTTTTCAGATAGCTAGACTATATCACAAAGTCCAGGAGTCTTCCTTTCCTGTGGACTGGAGCAACAATGACTTGGTGGTTAGTAGCCTGTTCTTATACAAAAGGGCATTCTTGTTGGGTTTAGGGGCATAAAGTGTTTTAACATTTGTCTCTAATTCAGGTCCTTCATCCTAGCACCTTAAACTTTCTTTGCTTACTGGCAATGGCCATATTTCCTGGTGAGTAAGCATTTTAAGGGGACATGTGCCAGTCACTGTGGCAGATAATGGGTTAGGTGAAATAGAGTTTTGGAATTTTGCTGCTTCTGATTTTTTTTCTCTAATAGACCAAACTATATAGAAGAGGAATGTTCTTAAGCTTAATTTCTCAAACTTTGCACACTCCACTGATGTCCATAGCCATACCATTGAATAATTTCTGGTTCTGATTATTGATCTTATTATTTTCCTGTTTTCTCATATACTTCTTGACAAAATTTATTGTCAAAAATTTGCTTGACATAATAGATGAAAATTATGATAAAGATGTATTACAGTATTTAATCCATCAAAGTGAAATAAAACAGTTGAAAATGTTCCAAAGTTTGTCTGGAAACAGATGAAATAAGCATGCATAACAAGATTTAGAAATAGAAATAGTATGGATGGGCAATCCAGAAGGAAGAAATTAATTGCCTAAGAATCCCATTTGTGATCCTATTTGTTCTCCTGTAAGACCATGTGCATATTTCCTTTACAAACCAAAAGAATTCCCCATGAGAAAATTCTCTACAATGGATGTTGGGGAGGGAAAATAATTTTTAGCAATGATTCAAGAAGATTGGGTTCTTGAATTATAATTGATTAAACAGACAGCTGGGTACAATAGTAAGGGATGGAATAACTTTTTATTGTAATTCTTCCAAAATAAAAATATTAACAATTTAAACCATTCAATCTGAACAGCACAAAAATCGTATTTCATTATATTGTTAAATTGGATGCATATTGTTGCTAAAACTTTTATGCCAGTTGCCTCTTGCTTTTACTTAAGTACTCATTTGAGTAGAACAATAGAAGCTGGGATATAAAGTGAATAAGCAAATAACTATTGTAAACTCTCCCTTTACATTTTTTTGTCTTCTGCTACATAGCTTGAAACTGGAACAGAAATCTTTGAAAATGTTGCATGTTTAATGTACGACTGCCTGGATTGGAAAAGACAACACCAGTACTACTTGAATTCAACTAGATTTATTAATGTACCTGTGGTAGAAAGGAAAAGTAAATTAGAGGTTTGTGGTAATAGCAAAAAATATTGTAATATTATATGTAAAATCTGGTATGAAAATACATTTTGCTTAAAATCCCATCATTTGGATATTGTTAAGACCTATATCATAGTTCAGAACTAAGTGTAGTGATGGAGTAATTACTGTTGAATTGCTCCTTCAATTTACTGGGTATTACTAATTACCTACTAGACTTGCAAGATATTTATCTATTTTATTATTACAAAATTAATATAGCAGCATATTCCAAAATGATAGGTAGTATACAGACAACAGATAAAGAAATAAAAACAATGCCATCAATCCCTATAAGAAACATTCAACTAAAAATTACTTTAAAATGTAATTTATATTAAGTAAAGTAATTGGATAGCCTATTAAAGCCAACAAAAAAGTCAGCCCAAGTTCAACTACTAGACCTCAAATATCTGGGGAAACAATGATTTTAATACCTTTCTGAAGCTCAGCAATGTGAAGGGAATCTGCATTGGGAGTAAGCTGTTCCACTGCCATATAGCCACCACCAAGAAGGTCTGCTTTGGGTTCCTGCCTCTCTCATTTCTCAGGCTGGGACACTGACTGAGCAGTGAATCACAAGTATATTGATGATACATCATCCTGAACTGACTGGTTGCTTCTCCCAGCAGATTTACCTAGATGTCAAATAGCAGGAGGGAGAAATGTGAGCCAAAGCAATAGCTATATTTTGGCCATGGACAGAATCACTTCCCTGGCCAATAACTATTGACTAGAGCTGTTCTGTTATGAAGAAGCTGAACCATCATAAAACAGTAATCCCACTTCCAGCTGTCACTGGTGATCCAGGAGAAAACCATAGTCAATGCAGTCATATAATAAGACGTCTAACAGGATTAGAGGGGGCATATTTCTTCCCTTCTAGTCCTGGTACTAGACTTTTTTGAACCCTGAAGAGTGTTAGTGAATCAAGATATGGCCTCTTCAGGAGCAGATGCTCTGTTGCTTCTTGAAGGAAGTTGATACCATGCATTCTTAAATCCAGGTATATCCCTCGGTGTGCCCAGAGGGATACTAGCCCACATAATTTTATTCACTTTTTTTTTAGCTGTAACAAAGTTAAAGCATAAAAATGGATTATTTTGTTTTAATTTATGTTTTATTTCACTAGGTACATATGTCTGTTCCAGTTACTCCTACAAAAAAAAAGCAGGCTATAGATGAGCCTGTGCCACTCCCAGTTTTAACTGCAGGTACATATAAAATAACCTGAGTTATTGTACAAAAATTATCAGAACAATTCCTTTTCACTGATCTAGGAACGTGTGCAGTATAACATTGTGCAAAATGTTGGTGATAGCCATGGGAATATTTCTGATGGTCTTTTCATTTCTGGGTTCTCTATATAGCTGTATTAACATGACAGATAACCCCAGAAATTTCTGTCCCTATTGCCATTGATCATTAACTGCTGAAGGTATTTTCTCTAGCTTTATAAGCATAAAGTACACTTTATGAAGATTATTGACATACTCCAGAAAGTAGATAAAACAAATCTGAATCCCTTGAAGAATGTAATCCCTGTTCTTCAATAGGCACTGACTACTTATATTTCAAACTTAACCACAAAATGGTTAAGTAGCAAACCCATACTTTGCAAGGGATGACCAAATCATTCTGCGGGTGACTAGAACATACAGCTTGGAAGTTAGATTACCAACATGCTTTAAGTGTGTTGTTAGATACTGTATACAGTATTTCCAGGCTATTCCAAGCTAGAGTGAATATCCATTATAATAATAAGTTATAATACGATTGTTGTTATGGTCCTGTAAATCAGTCTTGACTCCTAATGACTAAATGGACAGGTTCAACAGGTCCATTCAGGGTTTTTGGCAACATTTTTGGAAATATTTTGCTGGTACCTAGTAGAATTTTTTTATTTCCTACCATAATCTAGCTGTGAGAGAAAGTAACTGTTGGCTTTTCTGGTTGGGGAGAATTGGAACCTGTGTTGTTCTACTCCTAGTTCAGCACTATTAACCATTGCTCCAAATTGAGCGTGCAGTTAGGAAGTTATAAAAGTTAAAAATGAGGGTTGTTCATAATAAAACAATGAGAAAACAATCCCTAATAATAAACATTGGCAGATAAACAGCAACTGTGGCACTCATTGAATTTAAGATGAAATGATTAAATTTAAAATGCCCAGTTGAGCTGAATAATTCTCATAATGAGTTTGGCACTATAGAAGTCTCCAATACTAGAGATTGTTCTCTCATTGTTCGATTATGAACAGCCCTCAGATTTTAAAAAGTAGTAGTATATATAATTATTTAGAATAAAATTCATATGTACTTTTGGATAAAGCAGGATCCTTTATAAAGTTGCTGAAACTTAATCATTCCTCAGTGATGCTAATGCTGCTTTGGTAATTCAGTCCAATTCTGTCAAATTGGATAGGAAAGGATCAATAGACATGGTGTGTCTCACTCTTCAAGAACCTTGTAGATCTAAAAAAAACGTTGAAGAAAGAGGCACTGATTTTGATAAATTATGGCATTTAAGCTGGAATAAATGTGAATTATTTTGTTCACAAGATTTCCTGAAAATTAATCACAACTGACATTAATGATTTATGTCCTATTTATTTATTAATCAAATTTACTGTATTTTTGGAGTATAAGATGCTCCTAGCTTTTGGGGAGGAAAACAAGAAAAAAAAATCTGCCTCTGCCTCCCAGCAATTTGCCTCCTTGCAGCCAACAGCAAACAGCCTGTTTCAGTTTCAATTTCAGCACAGCTTGGTTAGCACAAACAGCTGATTGTCAGTTGGATCGGCCTCCCAACGAACAGCTGTTTCAGCCTCAGCACACCCCGTTCTCGGCCTCCGTATGCCCCATTTTTGGCCCATTCCAGGCAGTGGGGATCAGAACGGGTGGAAAATGGGGCACGCACAGGCGGCAATAGGCAATGGGAATCCCTGCAGCTTGAAACTGCTGATCATTGGGAGGCCGATCCTACTAACAATCGGCTGCTTGTGCTAATCAGACTCTGCTGAAGCTGAACAGGCTGTTTGCTGTTGGCTGCAAGGAGGCAAATTGCTGGGAGGCAGAGGCTGAAGGGTGCGGTGGTGGTGGTGGGCTTCTGCAATATTTGGTGTATAAGATGCACAGACATTTCTACTCACTTTTGGGGGTGGAAAAAGTATGTCTTATACTTTGAAAAATACAGTATATAGCAGTCCATCTCATGGGAAATGATTCTGGATAATAATTATATTAGTTATATAGTGTCAGCCCTATGAGATAAAGAAACCAGTGCAATATAGGTCAGTACTGCTTTTATTCTTACAGAATCTTGCATGTTTGAATGTGCTTTCTACCTCCCTCACTTTATTTTCGTATGACTTAGAGAGAGGCCTGTCGCTGCTCAAATCCTGGCCATTGCTATGATAGCAGTTCTTCTTCCTGCCCTTCCACGCCATTCTCTATGTTTTTTGCAGATTGTTACAAGTCTTTTACCACTTTGATAACAGGGCATGGATATGATGGTTTCAGTGAAGTAAATTTTCATTGCAGCAATAATTAACATGGATTGGATTGCATGTTTTCTGAATATTTGCTAGTATTGGTTGTTGGTTTCTCATTCTCTTAAAAAAAGCAAGAGTCAGTATGACTTGAAGAAACAGGAGAGATCATGTAGGGTAATTGAGTCAGTAGACCAACTCCTGTTTACATTTTAAGGATCAAGAAAAGTATGAGCAGGGTTGCCAGCCATATCAACTGAAAGTATCCTCAGATCAGATGACATTTAAATTAAAAATGTCCCCAAGCAGGTTTAAGGCAATCACAGACTACGGTATCATAATCTTTCAAGACTTTGTACTGCTGGCTTTCCATCATAAGGCTCACCATTGTGAATCAAAGCCTTGATTTGATGCCTTGCACACCTTCAGGAAGATTTTCTTCCTTTTGTTAAGGTTATTTAATTTATTTTATTTATTTGGTTTGTCAATTGCTTACAAGATAATAGATATAAGTAAAAACATAGTTATGAATACATGGATACATATAAGAAAAATAAAAGAAACAATAGGACAGGGACGGTAGGCATGTTGGTGTGCTTATGCACGGCCCCTACAGAAAGGGATGAGGTCAATAGTAGAAAGTCTAAGGTTAAAGTTTTTAGGGTTTGGGGAAGAAACCACAGAGTCAGGTAGAGTATTCCAGACATTGATCACTCTGTTTCTGAAGTCGTATTTCCTGCAATCAAGTTTGGTGCAATTAACCTTGAGTTTGTATCTATTGTTTTCTCTTGTATTGTTATGGTTGAAGCTGAAGTATTCATTGACAGGTAGGACATTGCAATGTATGATTTTATATACTATACTTAGATCGGACTGAAGGCGGCGTAGTTCTAGCTTTTCTAGGTCTAGAATTTCAAGTCTGGTGGCATAAGGTATTCTGCAACGAGTAGAGGAGTGGAGAACTCTTCTTGTGAAATATTTCTGGACTTTCTCAACTGTGTTAATATCAGAAACGTAATGTAGGTTCCAGACTGATGAGCTGTATTCGAGTATTGGTCTAGCAAATGTTTTGTATGCTTTAGTTATTAGTGTGATATTACCAGAGAAAAAGCTACGTAAAATTAGGTTAACAACTCTTAACACCTTTTTGGCTATGTAGTTACAGTGGGCTCTAGCACTTAGATCATTAGAGATGAGTACTCCAAGATCCTTGACAGAGTTTGGATCATCAACAAGATCTTGACTATTCAGCCTGTATTTTATTTTCTGATTTTTTTTGCCAATATGTAAGACAGAGCATTTGTTTGTTGAGATTTGAAGTTGCCATTTGTTTGACCACTCTGATACATAGTCGAGGTCTTTTTGAAGGGTAGCAGTATTGTCGGTGGTGTTGAATAGCTTTACATCGTCAGCAAAGAGGATGCAGTTGCTCTTAATATGATCACAGAGGTCATTTATGTAGAGTATGAAGAGAGTTGGTCCTAGAACACTGCCTTGGGGGCCACCACTGTTGACAGGTACAGAATTTGATAGGACACTCCCAATTTTGACCATTTGATGTCTGTTTGACAGGAATGCTTCTATCCAGTTATGCAGGTGTCCAGAGATACCATAAGATTTTAGTTTTAGGAGTAGCTTGTTGCATACCACTGAATCAGAGGCTTTACAGAAGTCTATGTAGATTGCGTTTTTGCTTTGCCCTGATCAAGTTGTGTAGTCCATATGTTTTTGCAGTGTAAGAGTTGCAGATTACAGGATAGATTTTTTCTGAAACCAAATTGTTTATTGGACAGTAGGTTGTTTGTCTCTAAGTGGAGGATAATGGATTGGTTAATAATTGATTCCATGACTTTACGGGTGATGCAGCATAAGGAGATTGGTCTGTAATTTTCAACTAGGCTGGAGTGTCCCTTTTTGAAGATGGGGATGACCATGGCTTGTGACCATAGTTTTGGCAAGGAGCTGGTCCTGAAAGATTTTTCAAAGATTATGCTTAGAGGTTCGGCTATGGCAATGGATAGCTTTTTTAAGAAATAGGCACATATTCCGTCTGATCCAATAGATAGAGATGGTTTTAGATTGCATAGTGCTTTTTCAACATTGTCTTCTGTAAAATCGATATGTATTAGATCACTGTAGTTGTCTGTGGTTCGACTAGGAAATACTGGGCATGATATATATTTGTTTAAATAATTATTTTCTGTAGATTGAGAGAAAAACCTTTCAGTGCTTTCCTTCTTTGGCTTCAAATGAAAGGGCCTATTGGAAAAAGAATCACCTTATTTTGAGAATATTCACAGGTTTATAATATTCTCATATTGTATTTATTGGTAGCTCTGTATACCTCAATGTTTTAGACACATTTTTAAATTTTATTTTTATTAAAATAATGTTATTATTACAGATGTAGACATGAGGTACTACAATGATCTCCTGAGTTGTGTCCCTGATGAGGTGGTTTCTGTTGCCTTATTACTGGAGTGTATGTTGCAGCAGGTAAGCGAACATGGGCTATACAGGTAGTCCTTGCGTTACTAATGTAATGGAGTCTGCCAATTACATTCGTGATTGGAGGGGTTGGAGATGGCTGTGAGGATCCCAAGGAAAGGGAGCAGAGTACAGGGGTATCTCAGGAGTTGGGGGAGGTCTGACCCAGGCATCCCTAAGGCAACCCATGCACATTTAATGACCACTGCATTCATCATACATTTGTTTAACACATTCATTGGGGTGATCTAGAACTGTGGTCATCAACCACTGGTGGTCCATGAGAAAATTTTGGTGGTCTGCAGAGTAATGTCACCCCCAAATTAATTAATCCAGGCTGCATGGGAACACAAGGCTGTGCCACCCACATGGTCCGTGGGAACACAAGGCTTCCATTGCTCGCATTGTGAACAACATGAGGTACTGAGGGCAGGGGGGAAAAGCAGATGGGGGGAACTTGCCCCACTCACCCCATGTGCCTTGCCTGGCCACCAGGTTGCTTCTTTCCGCTTCTTCTTCTGTTTTTAGCTGCACAAAGAAAGCAGCAAAAGTTTTTCTTTCTCTCCACTAAACTCTGCCAGAAATGAGTCTTTGGGACCCTGCAAGGCATCCTGCTCCAAGAGGCTGCGCCGGCATGACAAGTCTCACAAAGACTCATTTCTGATGGAGTTTGGGGGAGAGAAAGAAAGACTTCTGCTGCTTCTGTTGCTTTCCTTGCAGGAAGCCAAAAGTCTCTCTCTATCCCTCCCTCCCCCGCCTCCCTCTCTCCCCCCCCTCCCCCCCCCCCCATGAACAGAGCTGGAGATGGTATCCTGCAATCTCAAATACAGAATGACCGATCGGTAGGAAAACGGGGTGGGGAATTTTCCTGCAGACTTTTTGGGGGATTTTCCCAGGATCCCTGCTGTTTCTTGGTCAAGGATTGCCTGTATTGATGGTACAAGTTCTGTAACTGTAATATCTTTAATAACTCCTTGAACATGTTTTTTTCCCAAAGCATTGGAATAATGAAATAAAATGTTTATTTGTACTAGATTGTCGCATCTGAAGAAAATCTTACACCACCAAGCCAAGTGATGCCACTGCCACGTGAAGATGGGTTGGATCATACCATTGCCAATCATATTGTTTCGATTCTACCTTCACTTGCCCTTCCTGAGAATGAAAAAATGGTTTGTGTTGTCTAATTTAATACCTTTATAAAAATTTAATACTTTTATAAAAATTATAAACAAGTTTTAAGTGCATGCTTCCTTTCCTTTCACAGGAGCTGTATAATTCCTTTTATCCTGAAAATGAGGAAAAAGTTATGGCTCCCAGAGGACCTCTAATATTAAACTATCATGATAATTTGTCTCGGAAGCTGCACTGCCTAAAGGTATAATATAACATTTTTTTCAGCTTTTTGCCTATCAATAATACAAAAATAGAGAAACAAAACAAAGAATACCTCATTATAAATTTGCCAAATTCCAAAAGAATGCATAAACTGTAAGTACATCCAATTCTCTGCAAAGGCAAAATCTGTGCTCATATATATCTAATAATAAAATTATACCATGTGGTTAGATCCCCCAATGTAAATACTAAAATGTCTCATAAGCTGCTTTTAAGAACAATATTTTACTCCCCCCCCCCCCCCCCCATTTTGTCTTGAAAATCAAGACAAAAGTTAAAATCATGAAGGTCAACCAAGAAAAAAATAAAAAATTACCTCTTAGTATATAAATATGTATTGATTTTAAGGATAAAACTTAACTGTACTTTTTAAAGATCCAGTTCAAGACACAATATTTTAGCAGAAATGTTAATTGATACTAACAGTAAATGATGGCCTAGTTTAAACAAAGGTATGCATGGGACTCCGTGGAGAGGTATGGCAGACTAGAGATGTTTCCCTGAAAGTGGAATCTACTACCATGATACAAACTGAGGAGCCAGTAAGTAGACAAAGACAGGATGGGAGATGATACACATGTTGTGTGGATGACTGCTTCTCACAAGCCAACCATATGAAAGTAGTTTTCTGCAGGTTGAGCACCAGTTGACAAGGGAGTTAGTTATCTTGCTTATAATCATAGCAGAGCTTTTTAAAGGACCCAAAGTTCACTAAAATCACTGTCTAATCTCTTTTGGAAATTCTCTGTCTTAAAGTTGTGAGAGACTTTCAGAATAACAAGTTGGAAAAGGCAACAGTAAGTTTGCCTTCAACTTTGAACAGAAGAAAAATTAACTGTAAGTCTAAGAACAGAAAGAATTTGATAAACAACAAGCTAAATAAGATTTTGATCTAAGAAAGTTAGAAACGGATTAAGGGCCCATATAAATTTGGACTATTGATTTTTACCATAACATTTTGGGATGGACTATATGAAATAGATAGCTTCTTGTGGGAAACAGATTTATTTAGGCTTCCTTCGTAATTGTAAATCGTAAAAAGATATGTCTCTTTATGATTTTAGAAACTGGTCACTAAAGACTATTAAAGATTTCAAACACAAGGGGAAAATACAAGTCTGCTCTTAATGTTGTTTAATACTGTCACTTATAAAATGACACAAAATGTTATTTGAAAATTAAAGGATTCTCTGAGGAATGGAGCTAGAAATTAGTAGTTACAATTTCAACCATGTCAGCAATGATGTCTGTTTCTATGAATAGAATATTTCCAAAAGACATTAATGTAGAAATGTGTTGCATCCTGACTTTCTTAGCATCCCCCCAGGAAACAGACACAGTTCTTAGAAAAATACAGTACTAACTGGAGGATTTGTTGCTACAAGTCTCAACAGCAAGGCAGCAGGAGATAGCAGAGAAAAAGGCAAAACATAAAAACAGGAACTATTTGCAGATAAGCTGAAGGAATTCAGATGCTCCATTTGCTTCTACTAAGGGATAATTTACTGTGTGATTTAAATTCCTTTTCTTCTAATTGTATGCAAGTCTGCCAATCTTTAGTCAGTTCATCATCTTGCTACTTGATTGCAAGTTGCACACTTTAATGGGGAGATTCCAGGAGGAATTGCTGGGAAGGACCAAATGAGTGCCTGAAACAGCCTGTGTTGTAGCTGGGTCTGATTCCAAGGGCGTGAAAGAATGACAGATGTGGAACAGATTTGACAAGATAAAGTACTAAATGTGGAACTACAAGTGGCAGGCCAAGAGAATGATTTGAAAAAGAACTCTTTACTGAATATGCAAAAGAAACTGGCTGACATTTAAAAAATTAAATATGAAAAACAAATGATAAGCTAAGAGAATGACCTGGAAAATATTTTCTTATTGGATCCACAAATAAGGCTTGTTAAAACCTTGAAGAAATATATGCAATGGGATAAAGAAGAATTGAAGATAAATTAAATCCTATGATAATATCTGATTGAATTAAAGATTAAAACTGTTAAAAGTAAAAGGAAGGAATATAAAGTTGGTTTATTTGTTCAAGATTAAAATAAAACTTTTTTTAAAGTTCTGGCAACCTTTATGGACAAAATTCAAATATTGATGTTTTATGGATTTGCTTATCAATAAGGGATAGGATAGGATATAGGGTGAAGAGATATCTGTTTGTAACCTTATGGGAGGTGGAAAATTACTAAATTTGTCTATGCTTGTCATAAAGGTTGGAAGTAATTTCTTTATTTCTTTTATCTTTTTTCCCCTGCACTTTTTATTCTTTCTCTTCTCTTCTCTTCTTTTTCTCTGTTTAGTTTGTGTTAGTTTTTACTATACAGCTATCTCTGAAAGATACCATGGTCGATGGCGTTAAAAGCTGCTGAGAGATCAAGACATTCTTGCAACCTAATTGATTATTTCTAAAACCTTTGCTTATGAAATATTAATAGACAATCCTACAGCACGAGTTATAAAATGGCACAAAATGTTACCCAACATAATTAATCAAGAAGCTATCATCACCATATGTAATACATATTAACCCTGTGTTATTAAAATAGATAGAGCTCAGGTTTTACCTTTTCATTTTCCAAAGTGTACGTTTATAGAATTGCATACTTTAGGACATCCCACTTAAATATGGTCTTGCTTTTCAAAAAAGTAAGAAGAAAAATGAGTACGTGAAACTATTGCTAGGCATAATGCATGTATTGGCTTATTTCTATGGCACCAATCATCTCCCCTGAAAGCTGTAGTGCTCCAAAGAGAGATAGAGAAAAGCAAAGGGCACTTTTTATGTTCCCCAGTATGAAAAGTTGCTCCTTCCTCCTTTCAATAGCACAAGCAGTGAAGTTTCATGTTTCTCTTCACTTAAGGTAAAAGATGGTTTAGACCCAATAAAGATTGAAGAGGAAATGATGGAAAAGCTGCCTTTGATGGAACTTCTTAAATTCCCTCTTCCATCACCTGCAAACAATACCAAACGCCTTGCCAGGCTTCATGAACTCATGCACTATTGTACCGATGGTAATATTATTCTTTTATTGGCTTACTGTTTCCAAAGTAGTCCAAATCTTTGTTATATCAAATTTCTATATGCTCTGGGAAGTAGAATAATTTCCTCCTTTATTTGATTTTTTTTTTTTTTTTGCTTCTGGGAATGCATTGGTTGGAATAAATTTGAATCGGCCATGAATGAAAAACAGATTTCTGACAAAATAGAAAGCGAATTCAGGCAATTTAAAAAGACATTTTTCTTTCTGTGGTTTAATTTTCTTGTAGAACATATGAATTGGGCTGAAGTAGAACGAGCTTTTCGAGTATTTACTTTTGAAAGTTTGAAGCTGACAAAAGTCGATAACTCTGGGCGGCTCGAAAGTTCCGGCAAGATGCTTGGTGGTGATGATGAGGTGTCTTATATCCCATGGGACAATCCTGCTAGGTTTGCTAGACAACTGAGACAAGAATTAATTTGCAAAAAGCTTTCTAAAGAACTTAATCAGAATAATTCAGGTAAAAAATTTTTAGATGTATTTTGTGAATATATTAAAGCACAGTGTTTATAATTTCTTGAATTATTGTTGAAAAATTATATCTAGTAAGAAAATCAGAACAAACTGGCATTTTAACAATTGTGTTCACTAAATGATATAATTTCCATATACAACATAAAATATCAGAGCATAGAATGCAGAATAACAGTGTTGGAAGGGACCTTGGAGGTCTTCTATTCCAACCCACTGCTCAAGCAGGAGACCCTATACCATTTCAGATAAATGATTATCCAGTCTCTTTTTGAAAGCCTCCAGTGATGGAGCACCCACAGCTTCCGAAGGTAAGTTGTTCCATAGGTTGATTGCTCTCACTGTTAGGAAAGTTCTCCTTAGTTCTAGGTCGCTTCTCTTAATTAGTTTCCATCCATTGTTCCTCGCCTTGCCTTTTGGTGCTTTGGCTAATAGTTTGACCGTCTCGTTTTTATAGGAACCCCTCAAATATCGGAACACTACTCTTCATGCTTCCTCTATTCTTTGTTTTCATTGGACCAGACATAACCAATTCATGTAACCGTTCTTCATATGTTTTAGCCTCCAACCCTCTAATCATTCTTGTTGCTTTTCTCTGCATTCTTTCCAGAGTTTCTACATCTTTTTTACATTGTGGTGACCAGAATGGGATGTGGTATTCAAGTGATCTTAACTAAGGCTTTGTAAAACAGTACTAGAACTTCACGTAATCTTGATTCTATATCATAATGCAACCGAGGATTGCATTGGGTTTTTTGGCTGCTGCCACACACTGTTGGGTCATATTTAAGTAATTGTCCACTAGGAGTCCAAGACCCCTTTTACAATTATTGGCATTAAGCCAAATTTTACCTACCCTGTATCTGTACAGTTGTTTTTTCTTGCCTAAGTGTAAAACCTTACTTTGATTTAGGTTGAATTTCATTTTATTAGATAGGATCTAGTGATCAAAGCCTGTCAAGATCTTTTTGGATCTTGAGCTTGTCTTCTGGTGTGTTGGCTATTCCTGCCATCTTAGTGTCATCTGCAAATTTGATGACTTCCCCTTCTATTCCCTCATCTAGAATTCTAGATCATTTATGAAGATATTGAAGAGTATCGGGCCCAAAAGGAAACTTTGGGGTACCCCGCTGCTTATTTCCCTCCATGTAGATGTAGTTCCATTGAAGACTACATGTTGAGTACGATTTGTCAGCCAGGTACAGACCCATCTGGTCTGGTGTTATCTGTTCTACATTTTTCTAGCTTGCCAAGAAATAGGTTGTGGTCTACTTTTATCAAATGCTTTGCTGAAATCTAAGTATACTATGTCCACAGCATTTCACTGATTCACTAATTTGTCCAAGAATGAAATAAAATTTGTTGGGCATGATCTGTTTTCGACAAACCCATGTTGGTTACTGGTTATCACCCATGTTGGCTATTAGTATAATCATCCTTGGCCCTCTTTTTTTTTAAGTGAAAAAAAATGGCTACCAAGTGAGAGCTTTCAAGATGGTTGCATTGACTACAGAGAACATGAGGCTGATGAAAAAACCCTCCAAAGACAATGAAAGAGCAGTTTGCAAGTCAGTGGTGCAGAAAGATAATTGCTAACTATTAGCAATATTAGGAATGGGAAAGAGGATTGAAAAGCAAGGTGGGGACAGCTTTTGGAGTATCTGGATTTGAATTGACACAATCAGGAAACAGACAGAAATGATGGAGCAGATTACACTACTTTGCAGGAGAAGGGATTATATTTTAATTACTCCCTGTAGTAAATTTTTTAAAATTGTAGTTCAAAGAGTGTAGCAATATTTTGCACATTTATTATACAGAAAGCTGAGGAAATCTTGAGACAAGGCACGAAATCAGGGAAGGAAACCTCTTTCTCAGAATTTCCACTTCCTCTTGGGACAGTAAATTACTCATGAGCAGGGACATCAATTGAGCCATGTCGAATTAACTTACAAATAGGTGCTTTAATCATAATAAAGCATGGGATGATGCCATTGAAGGATTTTTTAATTGGGCTGAGACATTTATCTGTAGAAATAAAAAATAGAATGATACATTTCATTTAATGATCTTGATGATCATTTGTTAATTACTCATTGTAGAAGGTGTCAGACCAAGGCCGATCAGAAGGAATCTGATGGCTCCTTTTTGAAGCAGCACATTAAAAGCTTTTATGAACTGCATGGAAAAAAGAGCTACACAAAAAGAATTGAGCTGGACTTCCAGTTTGAGTTTCTTCGCTGACAGACCGAAACTGCGATCGTGCGCAGTTTCTATCTGTGCTCGCCGCCAGAGCGCCCCGAGCCGGCTGGCTTCGGGGCTAAGCCATCCCTTAGAGGTGGTGAAGAGGGGGGAGTCTCCCAGTAGGGTTGAGGATAGCCAGATTTCTCCTCCTCAGCTGGCCATTACTGCCTTTCCTGAAGGCGGTTGCAGCAGTGGTCAGAAATGGCCACCTCAAAGAAGAACTTGACCGGAAAAGAATGTGCAGGAGGAAGATAAGAAGTGAAAATCTTGGTTGACCGGGTTAAACTGCAAAAGCAACAAACCAAGGTACCCTGGTATTTAAACTATAAAAAAGTAACATTGTTCCCAAAGAAGATTTTGAAGCAGCGAAGGAGAGAGAAAAGGGAAAGGATTTGGTTTGGTTTTTCTCCTCCCTTTTATATAATGACAGCTAGGAGATTTAAGCAAGAAATTGAAAAAAAAATCCACTGACATCCATTGACATCAACAGGCATTTAAGCTGAAAATAAAATGTCAAAGGGATAATAAAGTTTTCTGGATATTTAAAAGCTTTTAAAAGCAGGAAAGGAAAGAAAAAGAATAAAAGGGCAGGATCTGGAAAAATGGAGGAGACTGCCTGGAACTAAAACCTCAACAAGATTCCTAAAAGATACATTTTAACTGAAACTTGACAACAAAATATTAGAACCCCAGGAAGAGAAAGTTGAAAAAAGAAGCAAGAAGAAACAGCTTGGGATTATTTGGATTACTTGGTGTTCTCTGGATTTTTGGTTATTGCATTTAAATGACTAAAATCAATCGGGTGGTTCTTTAAAAGTGTTTAAAATGGCACCACTTTTAGAAGAACTGAAAATGGAACTTAAAAAGTACAAAGAAAATGCACAAGAAGGGAGGGGTTCTTTTGGCTTCGTATTTCAACTCAGAAATGGAGATCTGGAACTATGAAAACAACAAGAAACGCTTTCAGAACAAGAAGATTGAGACAAAGAAGAAGCCATCTTTAATGATCAAGTAATTTTATGGGGGGGGGAGGAAAGGGGGGAAGAGAATGAAAAAATTAAGATTTGAAAAAACGACCCCAAAAAAAGAAGAATAGTTTGAAAAATAAGTATAATATTATAAAGCAACAGAAGGGGGGATTACAGAAGAGAGAATTAGAAGTAGAGAGACAAGGGGGTAAAAAGGGGAGGGAGAAGAAGAGAGGGAAGAAGCAAAGGAAAAGAAGTTATAAAGGACAGAAACAAGATATAGAGAAACAGGGCAAAGGTATAAGAATTGAAAGTATAAGCCTGTTAGAGATAATGGGTGAAAACTTAATTGTAAAAGGGATTCTGCAAAGGTACATAAGATAGTATTGTTATATTACAAATAGAAATAATCTTTGAAAATATGCTTAAAATGATGGATAATATATTTATTGTAATCTAGTGGAATGCTTGTGAATAAACAAATGAAATAAAGTGAATGAGAGAATTAAATTAGGAAAGGATGGGAGCATTTTAATTATTATTAATGATTTATAAAATATAAGTGAAGAAAAATAGGGCAAAAAAATAATTATGGAAAGTTTATAAGTGTTCCCAAGGAAGTATGACATTTAATTGAAAAGAAATGTTAAAGATGTTAAGATGTTAATGAACATAAATGATAGAATTGAATTGGAATGGAATGAGTGTTTTATTTACACATATATATAATCTTTTTTTAAGAATATAGTGTGTATTTTAAGAATGTACCAAGCAGAATTTGATTGGAAGTTATGTATTATATTGAATGTTATAATCTTAAAGGTATACTATTGAAGCTTAAATAAGAGTTGAATGGATAAAATTAAAAGATATAAAGGCGTCATACTCCAATTAGTAACTACAGGAGAAAATTTGTTTAACGAGAAAAAATAATATGAAATTGAAACAGAACAGGCAAAAGTATAAATATAATGATTTGAATTGAGATGAGATAATCAAAATAAAGTTGAGAAAATTAAAAGAGGGGAAAAACTACGTAGAAAATGTAAAACAGTAATAAGATATGGCATAGAACACCAGAATGAGCATGAAATTGAATTTGTGTCTGTATGAAGAAGTGTAACCCGGGACTATGCTATTTTAAAAAAAAAGATGTTTTATTTGTATTATGTTTTTTGTGTGTGTGAAAACGCAAATAAAATTTTCAAAAAAAAAGAAAGAATTGAGCTACAGTTGTGATGAAGTGAGCTACATCTCACAAGAGTTTATGCCTTGTAATGAAATGTGTTGGCCTGAAAAGGTGGTACCAGACTCCTGTTTTTTGTTTGTTTGTTTGTTTGTTTTGTTTGTTTGCTTTTGCAACATAGATTAACAGCATCTCAGATGGTATAGGAAACTTAGGCTGAAATATCCATGCAGCTGTGTGAAGCCCCTTTGGATGTTATTAACCAGCAGCATAAGTATTGTGAGAATAAAAGCAGATGAACAACTTTGTATGTTTTTCTAAGCTTTTTGAATGAAATGCAAAATAAAATTAATTAGTTACTGTTCTTGTTCTTGTGATTATCACTATCAGATTCTTTTGGGGAAATAGCTACAGTAGGACATATTGAGAAGAGAAATTATTTCTGAGTAGACACATACAGGATAGGATTAGAAATGTGTTCACATTATAAAAACATTTGAGCTTGATAATACAAGTAATCCTCAACTTACAACCACAATTGAGCCCAAAATTTCTGTTGTTAAGTGAGACATGACTTTCCTTGTGACAGTTGTTAAGTGAATCATTGCCGTTGATAAGTTAGTAACCTGGTTGTTAAGTGAATCTCGCTTCCCCATTGACTTGGCTTGTCAGAAGATTGCCAAATGTGATAACATGACCCTGGGACACTGTAATCGTCATAACTATGAACCAGTTGCCAAACATCTGAATTTTGATCACATGATCTTGGAGATGGTGCAAAGGTTGTAACTACGAATAATGGTCACATTTTCCAGTGCCATTGTAACTTTGAACAATCACTAAATGAACTGGTATAGATCAAGGATTACCTGTAGTTCTTCAGTGATATATCAAAAAACTAAATAAAATTTACATTGAATAAATGTTAATTTACATGAAGTCTGAGATCATGTTCATATTGATATTTTTCAAGGGTCTTCCATTTTGATCTCTGCAGTACCCGCATATGAAAGAGGCTCTACTTTTCCAAAACAAAGTTGTTTCCAGTTTCTAAGGGGAACCTTTTCTGCACTGCTACTTTCAGTGCTGAAAGCTGAATTGGGAATGCAAGGGAACTCCTGTATGAATGTGGATTTAGAATTTATCTAATTGTCTTTTTTGTATTTCTTTTTTCATAGAGCCAGACTCTGAGTCTGAGTATAGTACATCTCAAAGTCAAAATCATTTCTCTTTTTTACTGGAGGAAAATATCAAGAGACAATCCAAATCTTTCAGCTCAGGTATACGTTGCTTGGAAATACGTTTTTTTCCTTTTCCATCTCCATTTTCACTCTGGAATGCTCTCTGGAATCCTTGTTCACTATGTTGGGAAATTAGAAACTTGCAGCATTAACGAGGTATCGGTTAATTCATAGAATATTGTTTCCAAGACTTTTACTGCTGCATAAATTTATGACCATAGATTGTTTTTTTATTGCACACTGTATGCCTAGCCTTGGAAGGGTGGGGGGAGGGAGAGAGGGAGAGAGAGAGAGACCCTAGCATGGTGTGTGGGGATGCCAGTGTACCTCATTAGCACATCTCTTGTCAAAAGTTTTTACATTAATTAAAAACAGGAACATGCTGCAAAACAAAATGCAAATGTCCAACCATGTCTTTATGTACAAAAATGACTCTGGACTCTACAAGATTAAAAAGTTTTCCCACTAGCTCCACCCCAGCACTTTGTAAACTTGCTCCTGAAAAGGAGTAGGGGTAATTGTGGCATTCTTGTAAATTGGTGATTTGTGACTTGTTACGTTCCCATGGCAGCTACTTTGTGAATGTGCTAGAGCCTATGGTTTGTCCTTAATATTCTGTATGTGCTCATCAACCCTAAAACGTTTAGGACCACCGCACTATTTGCTTATGAAAGAAAATCTGCTTGTTCAAAATGATTGTTTATTATATGAATTCAGTTGCAAGTCTAAATAAAGAGCATGTCTGGGAAAGTTAGTAATTCAGATTGAAGCCATTCTTCCCTGGCTTTCTCTTTTTCAATATTGTCCATTCTCTAATGTAGCATGTATGTTCTTATTAACTGCTAGGCATCCCCTCTACTTCAAAAATTATGACCATTAAATTAGTATTGTTCTTGTCCTCTTAAATGGAAGAAATCCCTATCTTTTCCAAAGCACTGGCAAGAATTATGCTTTAAGAGTTCTTTTAAAGATCAGTTGGTTTTCCATTAACTTTCTGTTGGACTTTACAGTTAGCACATGAAGAATTGCTTATTGTATATAAAATAATGTAGATCTGGAGAACAATATTGCTGGGTTAATGAAATTTGATTCTTGAACTATCCCTGTTCTAACTTCTACAATGAGCATGAGATGAAAGGAGATAGCTGCATGAGTAAAGATCTTCATGAAAGGAGCTATAGACTGTTGATGTCTGAATTTACCTTCACAAATCTGAGAAGAGTGATACAGGGTTACTGTGGCTCCTTCTTCATATATTCAAAAGCCTGAAGCTTGAGGAAGGTGATTCTGCCATAGAAGCTATGACTGTTAATAGAGCTGCTGTGGCCTGAGGTCTTCATGCATAAATATATGAAAGCAGATACCAAGAGAAAAAGAAAAGACAATGGTTTGAATATATGAATATAATTTTTTGAAGATTGCATAGTATCCATTCTGTTCATTGAGCATTTAAATAATTGGAACCAGATAATAGACTCTTAACATTTCTAAACATTTTATATATATCTTCAAACACATTCCACAGATTTGATTGCTGATGTTCATGAAAATGGTGTGAACAATTCTGTAGATAAGGTAAGAAGTGCTGAAATAAGAAGCAGAATGTAATAAATAAATTCTAGTAATTGAGCATTCCTTGTTTCTAATTTTAAAAATATACAATAGGTTGAATCTCTTAAGAAGCTTGAAACACTTGAGCTTGTAAAGATATGTGTGCTCTATTCTAGCATAATTAGAATTGAAGCCTCTCATTTCATACTGTTCTGTTCGTGGGAAAAAATGATGCTGTTGACAGTTATCAATTATTTCATATTCCCATCTGTTATCATTCTGTATTGTTTGTATATTTAACGTTTTATTGTTTGCAGAGAAAACAATAGAAGAAAGAAAGTGAAAATGTATTTTCGTATGGTTTATATCTGAAATTCACACATGGTACAGAACGTCCATAATCTTTGTTTCATATCATATTTGCTGGTTTTCACAAAAGAGGGATTTTTTTTTCAACAAGGAGATAGTTAGGAATACGCTGATGACTACTTAAAGAACTCCAGTTTTTTCAATCATCTCCACTTTCTTTTCTAAACTAATAAGCTTTTCATGCTGCTTTGAAGACTGACTAAGAGATGCTGTAAAAATTTCTAACGTTTTCCTCTGTTGCCATTTTTACAACTGAACTTCCTCTTTAAGAGCTGCTATTTGCTTCATTGGTAGTAAAGGATGAAGGGAAATAGGTTAAGCATTTCCTCCTTTCATAAATATAGATCTAATATTACTGCTACAATTATTTTCTGCATTGAGAACTCTGAGAGGTTGTCCTGAACATTTTCCTCTAATTTTATCCCTATAGTAAGAATGTAATATATGAGATAAAGTGGGCTGAATGGTTCAGAATTGGCCCATATGTTCTGTAGCCAAGTATGAATTTGAACTTTGGCACAAGTCTATTACCAGATGACTAGACTGAAGAAAGGAAAACAGAGGAAAAGGAGCACTTTTGGATAATTTTCTAATTTAAGAATGAGCATTAATTAATAAGACAAATAACCACCTAAAAATCCTATGCTGATCAAAAATGATAAATATTCTTCCTTCACCTCACATATTGTTTAGCACCTTATGCATTATGACAAAATGGTAATAAGTAGCTGAATTGCTGTAACTGACCTGAAATGTAACGGGTTTTAACTTGAATCATCCTAAAGATTCCTAGTGAAAAAAGTGAAAAAACAATTATGGGCTGAATTTCAAATTAGGTATTAATTACGCTTGAGAGAGAGAGTTTCAGCTGCAACAAAGATTCTTCCAACCTCTCAGTGCATTAAGTTGGTTATGTAATTCAGAGGTGGTATTCAGCAGGTTCTGGAGATGACCGCTAGCAGAAATTTTGAGTAGTCCAGAGAACTGGCAAATCCCACCTCTGACTGGAGATTTTACAGTATCCTTCCCCTGCCACACCCACCAAAGCCACGCCCACAGAACCGGTAGTAAAAAAATTTGAATCTCACCACTGATGTGATTGTATTATCACTTGCTTTCTACCGAGAGGTTGTAAAAAGCTGCTAATTTCTTTTTTAAAATAATGAACCTCTGATAAAAAAATAATCTATATTTTCTATAATATCTCTTCTATATGGAGAATTACAGTGAGAGGAAAAAGATGTAGTCCTAAAATATAGTTAATATAATCATACTACTTTGAAATTGCTTTAATGATTAAAAGCAAAATAGATGTCACCTAAATGTTATAATTCATTTTTCACAGATGGTGTACTGCAAAACTAATATCAGCAGAAACAACATGAAATTATTGTTGAGATTAGTCTGTCTCTTAAAACTGAATTTAAGAAATTCACCTTCCGAGTTTCTTTCTACGCCATATAAACTTTGGAATATATGTGTTCTTCTCTTGAGATAGTTTCTGGAAATTACTTTTAGAATTGTCTATATATCCCTAATAAATCCACAATATTGGAAGAGAGCATTATTGTACTTACATTGGTTGAATGCTAACATATATAGAAAAAGCAGTGACATTTTCTATTTCTTCTTCTTGTTTTAATGGCAACTTCATACCCAGAATAAAAATATTGATGTGTTATTGAAGAACAGGGCCATTTTATAGAAAATAAAGAAAGTGTTGAACATGCAGATTTATTTATTTATCAATCAATTATATTTTTGGCTGCCCATATTACCACAGATATTGGATGCATGTGATAGTATGGAAATGTAGAGATTTTAAGCTAATCAATTTAAAAGGAATTAGATTCTAAAGCTAGAAAATAAGACACTATGGATTCTTTTTCACCCCCTTCCCAACATTTATTAAATGAGCTAAATTTTACCTATTCTTTCATAAGGTAATTTCAGCCATCCAAAAGACCCAGCAACGGTGTTTAAATGACTGGAGTTTTGTTGAGCATTTTCAACCGCAGCTCCTCTTCCAGGTAACAGGACCCACTTAATATGCATTTCCAGAAAATAAGTCTGTGTTTATATTTTCATTATACCAAAAGTTAGATTAATCTGAGAACAATTACTCAAAAGAGTATTCTCTGTGTAGCTATGAATATTTTTGCAGGTTATTTATCATTCTAAAATATTTCTGGATTGTGCATCAAATGGTCCACTTGACAGGTGGCTTTCTTCAGGAGAGATAGATGAAGTGCAACTTCACTGACCCTGTTTGATTTCTCAGTAGTTCTTGATAGTATTGTAGTGGTATCCTCTTAGATAATTTAATTGCATTAGAATAGGGAGCATATGTTTATTTATACTGTATTATATACGTGTTTGTGTATGTGCGTGGGGGAGGAATTGAGGACTTTGCCTGTTTTGAGCACATTTGAACTTGGTTAGAAAGAACTAATACATCATTTAGAAGATCTCTACATTCTTCAGAGTCATCAAAGATTTGATTGCTGTATTATCTTTCCTGAGCAGCAATAGCTTAGGTAATACAATGTATGATAGGTTAGCTACTATGAGTCATATACTGGTAATTTTACAGTCTATTTAAGTGCTGTATGTCAATAGGAAGTTCTAGTCAGGATGTTGAGTGGACCTCTTGCTGTTTGTATTTTACATTATTGTTAAAACAACTGTAGTTGAATCAGTTTCAAGGTTTTGCTCTTAACATACCAATAGGACATCTTTCCCATTACAGACCATTACTAAAATAACCCATCCATATCTGTCCATCTGTGTTATGTTGAAAATTGCAAATAACCATGTTGTGCTTACTCTCCGTTGCACTTTCTCGGTGGTGATCCTGAAATTTATACATCAACTGCCCTTACAGTCAGGTGAAAAAGTACACTCCAATGAAATTTTTGACTTTTTCAACATATTTCAAAATACAGATATTTAATTTTCATTTCAATAATATTGATAAAGGAGATATAATAAAGACAATATGCACTATTTGAATTATATATGGAAATTAAGTAAACATAAATGCAAATTTCATATGTGGAAATTCTGTAAATTTATCTAATATATAAAATTAGAATCAGGTGTACCAGAGGAGATGCACATGATTAAAACATGTTAGAGAGGATCTGAGAGATATCTGTCCTACTGAAACTTCAGACATTTAGTTTCTCTTTATTGTTAAAGGGTATAATATCACCATGCCTAAATTGGAAGTGCTTTGTGAGGCTTCCTCTCAAATAAATCTACCCACTCTTTTTTTCCATCACTTCTACATGGAGGTTTCTTAATGAGAATGGAGTTGTATTAATTCTTCTCTTGTTAACAGGTTCTTCACAATGCAACTCAGAATTATAGGTGCCTTGATTCCTATTATCATACTCAAGATAATTCTTTGCTGATAGTCCTTCATAATCCCATAAACCAACATCGTCAGTTCCAGGAGTTCTGGAACATTTCACTGCATTCTGATGTTGGGTTCAGGTAAAATGGATTTCAAATACTATCCTATAAAATGGAAAGGGAGAAGGAATTATGACAATAAATAATAATTCACTAATGATCAATGGCTAGTGCTACTTTACCATCATTACTGATAAATTATTTGTACAATTTAATACTTAGAAAAAGTAAACTGCTTTTATGTAATAAAATAATCATTTCCCAATAGGCAACACCCAATGAGACTCAACTATCATATTTTTGAATTTCAAAAAAAGGGAAAATAGGTAATAATATGCAGTATTTTAACAATTTCACACTTGTGTCAGACATTTTGAGTACTAGTTTTTTACATAGGGCTACTAATATAAGGGAAATATTTATGTAATATTTGTATAATAGACTATTCTAAGTCTGTGAATATTAAAACAGGCATTTCTGCATAATGACAACAATGTGAATATGAGAAGAAATTACTATTGATTAACTGTAGGTCAGGGTCAAGAAGAAGAGCCTTGTCTAGTCAGTGTTCTGATTGATAGCAGTAATACATTTTCTAGGAATTATCTGGAATTGGTGGCTGCCTCCATTGATGAATGGATAGTGAAAGAAGAAGCCAAATACCAGGAAGAGAAGATGAATAAGGAACTGGAGGCACTTAGATTGGCTAAAGAGGCAATGGAGAAACCTCCTGCTGAGGTCAAGTCTCCACCTTCTGGCAAGAAAGGAGCTGCTGGAAAGAAAGTGAAAAGTAAGTATTTTTGTGATATTGTCATGCACAAGGAATCAGGACCATATGTTAAATTGCAGTTAAGGAGATTTATTACTCAAACAATAAAGAATATAGTCAACTAATGACCAATGCTAAGCATTGGTGCTAGATAACTGTCAACAGAATTCAAGAGGGGTTGGACATAGATGTGGGAATGCAATAACTTTAGGTTGATGACTCGTTTAGCTTCGTCCCCACCCACCTTTACCTGTTCTTCTCCAACAGATATAAGCTAATGGTGTCTATGACATAATCAACCTGTTATATTTCAGTTTGGAACCAGGCACCCCACTCAGAACTTTTCATCTGAATGTCCCAAATGGGCTGCAATGTAATGGAGCAAAGCTCCAAACAGCGTCATTGTTTTGTGGAAACAAAACTAAAAATGTTTTGAGTATTCTGGGCATAGGAAACAAAGGATACTGAGTATAAGCTGCTGCTCCTTTGTATTTTTACACCCAGGCCATGGGAGTAAGGAGCATGGCAGTCTGTGTTGATGAGTTATCAGCCAATTAATTTTACAGAAATATTGGCAAAAGGGACCATTTTGTTTGTTTTTTTAAATGAAACATACATTCACACACACACAGAGACCCACCATTGCAGATAGCTTAACTGAAGTCTCTTTCTGGGAAGCTCTTTACTTTGCACATAGGTCAACAAGGGTGTAAATTATTTGAATAGCAGTAATACATCCTTGTTTTGTCAATCCTAATATTTCTGTGCTGTGGGATTTCTTTAAATGTTACTGAACACAGCATGGGCAGTGTGCTAGCTGTCCCCCTGCAAGAAAAGGAGCTGCTGTCTTTAACCATATGAGTATCAGACGTTAATACTACAACAGCACACTACCTACTTTTATTATACCTGTTGTTTGATATGGCCAAACAAAATATACTGGCATCTTCATATCCTTCAGACCAAGCTCAGCTCATGGTAATCTTCTGGATTTTGACCTATAATATTCTTTTAGGGGTAGTTTGCTATTTGTCTTCTTCCTAGTGTTTTTTTTTTAATTCCAGTCTGGTTTATAGTTTATTAGCCAATACTGTTGCTACATAACCAGAAATTTAACCAATAGAGATTACTCTTCCCAGTTTCTGAAATACATCATTGTCTTCAACATCAACCCTCAAGAACATGCAAAGTACATATATACAAAACATCAGCAAGCTCAGATGGGCAACATACAGTAAAAAAAGTAATAAATAAAAGCAAGAGAGGGTAGGCGTTGCTTGCTTTTTTATTTACATGAATATGGAAGTGGCATGTTATTGCTAACTTTGGAGATGTTTTTTCCTAACCTTTTCTACTACCCTGGTATTTCTTGGTGGTGTCCCATCCAAGTACTAAACAGGTTTGGCCTACTTAGCTTTTGGAGATCAGCCAAGGTCAGCCATATACTGCTACCTAACTCAGCTATGCTTTTTCCTACCTGAAAAGCACTTGCAGTTTTCAGGCATGAGAAGAGAGAGAACTGTTTAATTCTTCCAATTATTATGAGAGAATAGCTCTTCTGGAGTCAATTTTTAGGCCAGATGGAAAAGTAGATAATTCTGTTTCCATCAGTGGAAAGTGCTTATGTGAGAAGAAGCATACTGTTGGATTTCATTGAAAATGTTTTCCTATAGAGTCAGATTTTTGCTTACTTAAAATATTTAGCACTTGGGATTAGTTTATTCAAGGAATCATTTATATCACATTCTCATATTATATGATACAGTTACAATCTTTATGCTTTCTCAAATTTCAAAGGTTCTTCCAAAAGTAAAGTAGAAGTTTCATCTGAACCTGTACTTGAGAAGGAAAAAAATATATTTGTCAGAGATGAATCTCTCAAGGTAACTGCTGATTACTACTGAATACCACTTATTCCTCTATTTATGTAGCTGAGATATAAGAATGTGTCTAGATAAATGAAATTAGCAGTTAGAATCATAGTAATATTATTCTGATGCAGTATTAAATCATGCATATTATAGTAGCATCTAAGTCACTTGGTAGTTGAAATGTAATGCAAGCAAATCATAATATTGCTTGCTACAATTGCCTAAAATAGCATTTTTTCTAAAGGAAAAATAAAGAACACATTCAATAATGGATCAGATTGTTGGAGCAAAACCCAAATTTGCTCTGCTGTGTTAAAGTCCACATTCCATATTAGGTCTGACTCTGAACTTTCCTTTTTCTACTGCAGGCCTGGAAGGAAGAGCAAGAGAGGCTGTTGGAGGAAGAACGCTTAAAAGAACTAAAAAAAGCAGAGAAGAAGGAAAAATCTGATGCAAAAAAGAAAGGCCAGGCTAAAGAGCCGCCCATTCCTGAAGAAGGAAAAGGATCTAAGAAAAAGGGTTCTAAGGATAAAGCAGAATCATCCAAATCATCAGAGCTTGAAGATCAGACCAAGTTGCAGAAACAGAGTAAACAAACGGTGCATCCTTTGCCTGAAGAGAAAGACTATGAGGTGAATTAGTTAATGATTACATAAATTGCTGGAAATAATTCTAGTTATTGGCTCTGTCCTTGCAAGGTTCAAGTCATAGGTTGCACCTTTCAAGACGTCTCCATTGCTTGTCTGAAGCCTGGATTTTCTTACATAGTCAATGTAGTTGTGCCCCAGCAATATTCCGTTGTGGTCTTCTTTGAAATCCCTATAAATTCTGTAGTAGATTCTGTGCCTGCATAGACCTTTATTTAGATTCTTTTTGGGGTTGTGTTGACTTTAGTCAATTGTCAGCAATATTTAGGAGTTTCAGATGTCAGAACAGTGGGACATTTTATTACTTGTTGTATATTGTTTTGGTTATTTAATTGTTTGGTCAGCCCTTAGCTTTTATAAATTTCTTGGAAGGGAATTTTAATCAAAACATTTTAAAAAGAAAGCCATCCATCTAAAACTGCAGGAGTATGATAATATGATGGCATTACTGGAGGGAGGAGAAGTTAATATAAACAGACAATATTATTTATGTTTATCTATGTATCAAAAGGAACAGAACCTTTCAAAGTTTTTAAAAACAATTAGTTTGTGGAGTCTTGGATGGAGACAGACAGACAGACAGACAGACAGTTTTGGCTATTCTGTCTTTAATCTTTTTAAGTATGTAATGGTACCAGGATAAATATGGAAATCAGAATGCAGAGTGATCTTTCTACATCACAACAACAACATTGATTGAAAAGGATGATCTTATTTTCAAGAGTGCCTTTCATGTTGTTCTTGACAATTGGACAGGTTCGTAACAGGAGAGGTGGTTCTTAAATAGGTCCTAAGGAATGTAGGCTTCTACTTTTAAAATGAATACCAATACCTGAAATCAGCAATTGTTGCAGGTTTTTTTTTTTAATCTTAGACAGATGATTCTTCTACCTCAGGGGTGTTAAACCCGGCCTGTGGGTTGGATGCATCACACGCTGGCCACCCCCACCTCCCAGTTTAGAGAAGGGGGAAAAAGTCATGATATGTCATGTGACAACATGACACCACGAGTTTGACATTCCTGCTCTACTTAGCATCATTGAGTAGCCATGCAGAGCATATAGTATCTCAGTAACCAAGAAGGTAGTAAAAGCTTTGTTGCCAAAACTTATACAAGAAATGTCCTCCCAAGGAAGGTCCTTGCCTTTAGGACTTCCAAAAGCAAGACTTACTTCATAAGTCAATAAATCCTTTCAGTCTGAAAAGCTTCCATTCAGTCTGAAAAGCTTCATTTTTCTGTTTTGCTTTAAGACCACAGAGATCACCCATACCTGGCCTAAACAGATGTGAAACTCTGAGATCTGCAAAAAGGGCTTTCCAGCTGACGTCGCTATGATACCAGATACAGTGAAACAGACCTCTCCGTTCCTGTTCTGGCTTCTCCCTGTTTATGGGCTCCAATAGTAGCCTGTAAGGCATCTAGAAAGTATCTATGATATCAATCATTCCTAGACGTTATCTCTCCAATTGATTTATTAGAAACAGATCTGGCATGTCAAAAGCAATTTCCCAAGTGAAAGTTTTTTCACACATTACACAGAATCCACCTTCTCTCCTTCCACTCTACACTTCATAAATCACAAGAACCAATTAACTGAAAGTGGAAATTCTTAATACGACATATAGAATAACCTTGAACTTTTCAACTCCTCTAACTCTCTAAAAAAAATGTGGCAGCTGAATTTCAAAGCTGACAGGCCTCCCCCCTTGAAAACTCCTCCTAAAAGAAAAGAGAAAAAAAACACATACAGGGGTTAATACATTGTCCTTAGCCCCCTCTCTCCCCCCCCCAACAAGGACCCTTCAGTTTGTGGGAAACAGCCTCATGGAATTGGTTAACCAATTGATTAGCATGAACATCCCAACTCTTTACCCAATTAGCATCTGAGAGGGGGTATTCTTTCCATAAGACCAAATATTGTAATCGGCCACGGTGTAATCGAGAATCGAGAATTTTTTGAATCTCATAATGTGTTTCCCCATGTACCGTTAATGGTTTAGGGGGAGTGATTGGAAGTGGTCTTATCATCAATGTAGTAGTTGGTTTTAGAAAACTACAATGGAACACCAGATGAATTTTCCCCAATAGTCGAGGAAGACTTAACTGGACAGTGACCGGATTGATTATCTTTGAAATTGGGAACAGACCCAAGAATTTTGGACCCAGCTTGCTGGGCAGTTTCAACCTAAGATAGTCGACAAATATACTTTGTCCCTACTTTAAAAGGCGGTTGAAGGGATCTATGTTTATCCGCCTGTTTTTTTATAAATTTTTGCAGCTTTGGTCAAAGCTTTTTTTGTATCTTCCCATCCTTTCTTTAATGAGTTCATCCATTCTGTTAGGGACATGAATGGGGAGGTTGTCTAGGTAACTCTGGCATCAGGACAAAATCCATTCCAGTGTTGATTTGGAATGGAGTTAATCCCGTGCTGCTATGTACTGCATTATTGTAAGCAACCTCTGCAAAAGGTAATAACTCAGCCCAATTTTCTTGTTGATAATTTACATAGCATCTAATGTATTGTACAATCATGGCATTAGCTCTCTCCGCTGCTCCGTTACAAGCAGGATGGAAAGCTGAGGATAACCCTTGAGATGAACCAATGAATTTCAGAAATTCCCTCCAAAATTTTGCAGTAAATTGTACCCCTCTGTCTGATATTATTCTACGAGGTACTCCATATAGTCTATAGATATGTTTCACGAACAGCTTTGCAACTTTTTTCGCAGATGGAAGCCCTTTGCAGGCTATAAAATGGGCCTGTTTAGAGAATAAGTCAATTATAGTCCAAATGATCGTATTCCCTTCACTCTTAGGTAATTCAACAATAAAGTCCATTGCAATCTCTTCCCAAGGTTGGGTTGGTTCAGCAACTTGTTGCAGGAGGCCAGGGTTTTTTCCAGCTCTGTGTTTCATTGTGGCACAAATTGAGCAACTTTTTACATAGTCCTTGACATCAGTTTTCATTTTTGGCCACCAGAACTGTCTTCTCAGTAAATGTAGGGTTTTTAGGAATCTGAAGTGGCCTCCCAGCTGGGAGTTGTGGCTACGCTTTAGTACCAATAGTCTTAGGGTTGTAGGTACATAAAGCTTAGTCCCTTTCCAAGATAGTCCATCATTCATTGTCAACTCGTTTTGATGGTCCAGGAACCAAGGGTTGGTCAATAGGGCTGTTTTCAATTCTGTAGTCAGCTTATCTTCCAGGTGTTTGGGGTTGCAGTTGGCTTGGGCTCGAGTGGTCACTTGGCCTGCTGATTGAGCTTCTGAAATTAAGGCTTGTACTATTTCCTCTCGGTGGCTGTCAAACTGAGGTTTTCTGGACAGAGCATCCGCCAGTACGTTTTTCCCTCCGGGGATATATTTAATGTTAAAGTTGAATCGCTTGAAATATTGGGCCCAGTGGACTTGTTTGGGTAATAATCTCCTAGGGGTCTTTAGAGCCTCGAGGTTCTTATGATCAGTCCATACCTCAAAGGCCTCTGGCGCCCCTTCTAGAAAATACTCCAAGTCAACAAAGCCCATCATACAGCGAATGCTTCTTTTTCCCAGACTGCCCACCTTTGCTCTGTGTCTGTCAGCTTTTTAGACACATAAGCACAAGGCATCAATCGGCCTTGAGAGTCCTTTTGCAGCAAAACCGCTGCCACTGCTACATCACTTGCATCCGTTTGGACAATAAAAGGCTTGGTCACATCTGGATGCTGGAGGATGGGCTCAGCTGCGAAAAGGCACTTTAAGACCTCAAAAGCTTTCTGACAGTCCATAGTCCAAGCCAGTGGTTGACATGGCTTTGGTTTGGTGGGTGATGGGCCCATTTTTAACAGCTCCGTCAATGGGAGGGCAACTTCAGCAAAGGACGGAATGAATTGTCTATAGAAGTTGGCAAACCCCAAGAAACTTTGAAGTTGTTTTCGGGTTCTGGGGGGTTGTGAGTCTAGCACCGCTTTCACCTTTCCGGGGTCCATTTCAATCCCCAGGTTGGGTATTTGGTAGCCTAAGTAGTCCAATAACTCTTTGTGAAATTTGCATATTGAGAGTTTCACATATAATTTGGCGGCTAGAAGTTTTTTTAGAACTTGTCGGATTAATTGAACATGTTCTTCCATGGTTTCACTGAAGATAAGAATGTCATCCAGGTACATGAGGACACCCCCCTCCCCGGTAAAGGTGCAGGTGTAGCACCTCATTGATGAGCTGCATAAACACTGCAGGAGTCCCCTGAAGTCTGAAAGGCATGACTTTGAATTGGAAGCTACCCAGAGCGCAGTTAAAAGCAGTTTTACAGGCATCTCCTTCTTTGATGTGGACCTGGTAGTAAGCTTCCCTGAGATCTAGCTTGGTGAATATCTTGCCCTTCGGTAGATGGTTCAATAAGTCCTTCATAAGAGGGAGAGGGAGATGTTTTTGACGCATACAGTGTTCACGCCTCTAAAGTCAACACATAATCTCAACCCGCCATCTTTCTTCTCCTTGAACAACATGGGGGCAGCTAGTCTTGATTTGGCAGGCTCAATAAAACCTCGTTCCAAATAGATGTCGATGTATTTCCTTAATTCAGTCATTTCAGCAGGTGTCATGGAATACATCTTTGGTTTTGGTAATTTCGCCCCGGGCTCTAATTCTATGGCACAATCAGTGGCTCAATGGGGAGGTAAGACATTACACTCTTCTTCACTGAATGCATCAGCCAAGTCTTTGTATTGGTCGGGTACCTGGGGGTTATCTGGGAGAAGGTGGGATGCGATGAATGCTGGCTCAGGTTCTGGGTTCAGACTGGTGGCTTTGTAGTGGGTGGAAGAGGGGGCAATGGGCCCAGTCCTATGAGGATTTTTCTGAATCCATCCTCTCATTTGATCGTCAGGGCCCATTTGTCTAGCTAAGCAAGTCCCAGTATGATTGATTCTGACATCCTGGGGGCCACTATGAAGCGTATGAGTTCGCGATGGGGCCCTAATTCCATCTTGATCAATTCAGTCATCTGAG